GCCCGATGGTCTCCTCCGCAGCAGCTGTCACCTGGTCGCGAATGTGGTGCCACAGGTCGCCCACTGTGGCTATACAGTCCACATCACCACACAGGTGTGCAGCCATCGCCTTCTCCAGCTCAGTACGTTTCGCCACAGTACCGAGGGAGAGAATGTTAAATTTACGCCGATTCACGGCGGGAGTGCAATACATCGATTTACGAAAATATATGTACAGTTTGGTCCGCACCAACTTGTGATCAGTGCCACACTCAGCTCCACGCAGTACACGTGTCATGCGCACTTCACGCATATCACGCTGACGTACGATGACATAGTCGAGCAGGTGAGCGTGACCACTCCGTGGGTGCGTCCAAGTTGCTATATCACTCGCACTCAGTGCAAACCGAGTGTTCGTGATCGTCAGGCCGTGAGTGGCACACAGTGAGAGCAGCCTGTCACCGTTCGCATTCGCTGAACCAATGCCATGCGCACCAATAACATCTGTCCACGCTGATGCATCACGCCCAACGCGCGCGTTGAAATCACCCAGCAGAAATAGTCGGTCGCTCTTCGGCACAGACCGTATCACGGATGATAGCTCAGTGTAGAACTGATCACGCGTGTCATCAGGATAACACATGGTCGGACCGTACGTGCTTATGAAAGTAGCAAACTTACCTCTTCCGAGTCGTAGGCGAACAGTCATCAGTCGCGCGCTGATGCCTGTTGGTTCACCCACCAGCTGGCCATTCAGGCGGTCGGATATTGCAAATCCGACCCCATGTTCACGTGGTGCTGAGGCGGCGTTCCCCACCCAGTAGAATGTGTAGCCAGCAGCTGCTTCATGTAACTTACCTTGCTCAGCGAGCCGAGTTTCACTGAGCGCCGCAATATCGATGTGGTAGCGCGCCAGCTCCATTGCGACCAGAGCAGTGCGTCGCTCCGGGCGCTCGCTCGAGTTCCGGTCCAGTAGTGTGCGCACGTTCCAGCACCCGATGCTGAGTGCTTTGCGTGCAGGCATACGATTGCATTGGTGGGCAATCGCACGCGAGGTGGTCGTTGTGCTTCGGAGGTTTGCTTGAGGGACTCCATCCGGAGCCTTTGGCTCAATAGCCTGACCCACAAGGCAGTGGGTGGTTTGGAGGTTTGCTTGAGGGACTCCACCCGGAGCCTTTGGCTCAACAGCCTGACCCACAAGGCAGTGGGTGGTTTGGAGGTTTGCTTGAGGGACTCCGCCCGGAGCCTTTGGCTCAATAGCCTGACCCACAAGGCAGTGGAGAGCAGATCCAGCTCGGGAATGTGATTGCAGAGACAGATTGGTATCTGCTTGACGGCCGTCACACGCAGCCTTTGAGGTTCTGGAACAGTTATCATATGTTTTGCGACCGTAATTGGATACGCACCTGCGACCACGGCCAGACGCGCAGGTGGGTTTTTGGCGTGTTTGCACCAATTTGACCAGGGGCTGCCTGGCTTGAGGCGGGCAGTAGCAAACCATTGAACACCCGGAGGTGTCCTCCCACCGTCAGAGACAATGCGTGGCACTCGTGCTCTACGCCAATCGAGCATTGAGAATATCACCCGTAACCTGTTGTTTCCCATGGCTAGGTTTTACGGGAAGTGGGCCATCGACCACTTCCTAACCTCCGGAGAGGATGGACTAGGATACTGCCAGGGCGCCCAATCCTGACAGGAGAACGACTCGAGTCCTCAGCCAAAGCCTTCTATTAAATGAACACCCGAAAGGCAGCGGGTCTAGCACATGGTCAGTTAGCTGACTCATGCGGATTGGTGTCCTGGATCTTAGCAGGGAGAAGGGCGAAACCTAACTCCCACCCAGCGGTCGCCACGTGGAGGCGCCCAGGACATGAGACTATGGCGCAACAGTAGCAGCAGTGGGTAGACCATCTGTCAGGATCTAGTCACCACCAGCCTCAGCGCACCATAAGCCCTCCCGCCATATATATATATATATATATATATATATATATATATATATATATATATATATATATATGATTGGCAGTATCCAGTTCCGGATTTTCTGTCACTGAGGCCTCCATAGGGCAGCCCCGGTAGGCCTGCGTCTTCAGCGGGACCATGGGTGACTTGCGCTACACCACCCACAGCTCCATCCACACGCCAAATATCCAGTGTAAATCCGAAAGAATAAGACCGGGTGGCATGCAGATGGGTGCCACTTTTCATCAAAGGAGCTGACCCACACTCCTTCAACATGCAGCAGCAGCATCTACCTGCCAGACCTATGCAGGGCGGTGTATGGGCAGTAGCCCTTTCCATTACATTACATTACCACTCATTGTAGCTAACACGGTCACGAGCACCATGCACCTCGTCATTCCCCTCCCTCAAGCAATCTTTCCGAGCTAGTAATCGAGTTGAAAGGTGTTAGACAAGTAGAAACCTTGTCAGCATTCATAGCAAGCACCGCCATGCAGTACATATCACACGGGAGGTTTCATATATCAAGTACACGTCCGACTGGGAGTCAGTCGGGTTTAGCCCGACTGAGACGACAATGCATATCATGTCTCATTAACCTCGATCTTTGCAACTGCACAATGGCAGTTCAAATCTAGCATAATCACTACACTCACATACTTTTGTCCACACCTGTGTATGAACTACCACAAACTGACCGGAGAGATATTAACTCTCATGGACAATAGTACTACGAACCTGCATGGGCTTGAATTGGCCATAAGACTAACAGCCGTATTCGTCAAGTTATGGGGAATGGCGCCTACTAGAATAAGTATGCAATTAGAATTGTCGCTGGTTACTTAAGGCTTACATTTGAACTCAAATGACAGCCCCAGATTTCGTCAGCAGCGTGGGCACCAACAAAAAATGAGACAGATATGAGAATAGGGGGCAAATGGTATCAATTTGGTCACCAGCTGTGATGATACAAAAATGAGAGGTACACTAGAACAGTGGTGACTTCTTCTTTTATGTGTATGGTATATACAGGCTCCTATATGTGTAGTCGGGCTTGCAGTTGATGGAGGTCCCACGGGGTGAAATTGCGACTGGATGTTAATTGCTGTCTCTCCCTGTCGCTGCCGCTTGAGACTGAACCGGTCTGATAGTCTCCTGTCCGAAGTACTTTCGGATTCCCGAAGAATGTCTTTTTCTCTTATGTTAATCCTTGACGGGTGGTAATATCACCTATTCGCATGAAGGATCAACATCATGTTACTCTCTACTCACTTAATTATCGGGATTGATCACTTTGCACGCATTCTCCGGGGTCATTTTTCTTGGGATACGTGGTCCAGTGTTGCCACTTGAAGCAAAGTCGTTGAGCCTTATACTCTAACTTTCAAACTGTACATCAAGTCGAGGAAGCGTTGTTTTATGGATAAGCGTCCAAGCGCTTAAACGCTTTGGTTCACTCGTAACCACTGGACGGAAAACGAACAAGCCGGAACTGGAAACATACACACTATTTTACGCTCCCAGCACACATCTGTATCGACAACTTAGTTCACCCAGAAGACAGCGAAATGGCTTCAACTGACACACCTGCACACGCCTAATGCGGATGAGATCATGGTTGGAATGCACGTTTATCCTGTGGCACACTATCTCACTAAGCCTAGCGCTAATATTGGACAGCTGACGGAGATAGGGTCTTGTAATCTGCAAATCAATTTCAAGGAGTATAATGAGGTAGCAAAAGGGATAGTGGCAGCCTCGCGTATTCTGGTGAGCAATCCCGTGGAGATTGCATAGTGATGTGAATCAGGAACGAATGCGGAGAAGAAAATGCCGTAACACACTGTCACTGCATCTTCATCATCAATACACGTTGGCCGAGAGTGAGAAACCCACCTTAGGCAACGCCTTGTAACACGAATTTGCAGCTTTTATGCAACTCCATTGGCGTATTTCGCTTCCCGTCCCTCCCCTAGCCACCACGAATGGCTTAGCTCAAATCCTTGTTTGTTAGAGCCCCAAACACAAACTTATGGAAATCTGACGCGTGTAACCAGTGGTCAAAATGGGATGTAATTGTTCTTCCATTCGCTGATACGTCAAATCCTCCATCGGATTTTATGCACGATAGTGGCACTTTCTCATTTCAACTCTCTTTCTCGCACCTAGTGTCATCCGTGACTTGATTTGTGCACAGTGTATACGAATAGCGCGCTGTTTGCAGCTTGAACAAAGGAACTACCGGTAGCGTGATAGTTGTCATTTACACTCCGCCAATTCCCTTTTTTATCCAGTCAGTCAGTCTTAGAGATAACCATGATGATCTACGACAGTGATTTCCCACATTTTTGGAAAAGTGCATGATTTGGAAGAGGATAATAAAGGAACAGCTTACTACTAACTTAGTATCATTTGCTTGTCGGGCACCCAGTTCTTCACTATTGCTCGTGTTGAGTTTTGTACTCCGTACCGAAATAAGCAATTGCAAGGTGCATGTGTTTCCTGACGCCAAACTCCTTTAATACCTTTGGTTGCTTTCTTTAGATTGAACGAAGTCTTTGATTAAAATGTGCTGTTTATTATCCGCCTTTCCAGGGCCTTCTTTTCATTCTTCAACTTGACCTACGCTTCATTTTTTCTGGATTTGCTGTCGATTTTACTCGAGCGCTCCTTCGTGCGCTAGAATTTAGCGTTTTTTACTGCTTTATTTTATCATTCGGCTGCTTGTTATTGTCATATTTTGCTACTTGATCTAATCCTTTACCGGTGTTAACTCCCCTCGACACGTTTATCATTTCTCATTCCATCGTAGTACGGTTATTGCTACTGTCGGCATTGATTCACATTCTATACTAACTTGCCACACCCTACATCCAGTTTTCGTTTTTTCTTAAGCTTGTAACAAACCTGCACTGTTGTCATATGGTCTTGCGTCTGCTTCACTTGTGCGACCTTGTTTCCCCGGTTTACTTTTGCTGTCATTCCCAATTGCGTGACATGTTCTGCCAAATATGCCTTGTATATCTTAAATTGTTTCCCTTCCCTCTCTCCTCCAGTTGTGCTGTTGTATCACAGTGGTCACCGCCTGTCTACGTGTGGACGCCTTCAGTGTCCTCTATCTGCTCCTGATGCTCATTTTCCTGTTCACCCCTCGTGAAGTGTGTTCACGACTATGGTTAGCCTACCTTACCATTTTGATGATTCTCATCCCGATTCAATACGCCGGGTGCGTCGGACTTCCTCCCGGTCTCTGCTGGAGTGAGTTCGATTTTCGCCTGGTGGATGAAAAATTGGTTACGTCATGCATTTCAGCTTTCCTTGACTTTTCCCCCCTGAAAACACGGAATATTTTAAAATGGTTCTCGTAAACACACTAATGGATTTAAGCACCCTGCTATTTTAACTCCCGATGGGATGAGCACAAACTTTGCTCCTCGTTCTAATCCTCCTCTCCAATTTTCTGCTTTTTTTAACAAATAATTTCAATAATGTTCACCGATCTTTTTCTGTCTCAGTTTTTCCATGGATAACGGATTCCGTTGAGACGGATAACTTGCTTCAGTGGCTCTTTCTCCCCGGAAAGTATGGTTCACCAACGGCTAGGAAACTGACAGGTCAGCTGTAAATCTTGTTTTTAACCGCGATTCTATATGCGATGCGCCCTTCACTTTTATGCACCAGCTTATCGTTTCTGCTTGATCTAACTTCTCCCAACTGACGCTGGCTTGTAAAGCAATTGTGCGGCTCTCTGTTGTTGTCCCATGAGGCTCTACATTTTTGCAGCTGTTTTCCATCTTCTCTTTGAAATTATGCCCCCTCCTATTTTTGCCGAAAGCCATTGACGACAAACTACAAAAACTCCAGTTCCTCGGTGCAATTAGCCAAAGATCCGGATCCATCATCCTTATTTCCGTTCGGATACAGTCAATTGGTTGAAAATGACCATCACGTGTTGCAGTGTCAATTGTGGATCTCATTTTAACTTGAAATTTCCTGCGTGTTGTCACCATGACACTTCCGTCAATGGATAATAATCAGGACAACAAACGTTTTGGTACAAAGAAACTTACATTGGTTCTCACATAATTTAAGCGCGCGGTATTCAAATCTGCCGTTGGTTTTTCTCTGTAAGCTAAGAATTCTTGGAAAATTGATTATAAAGATTTTAGAAAAGAGGAAAGTATACACAACGATGCTTTTTGACCAGATGTATCTTAGCTATATAGATTGATACAAACACATATCCTGAACGCATCATTTTGCTTAGGTACGACATAAGCACTAAGCTATTTACATGACAGACATTAATGGGGCAAGTATTTGCTTTTATAATTCTTGCGTTTTATATAACCACCACAAATGACTACCACGCATACATCGGAGACAAATTCTTTATCATGTACCAGAGCTCGAATTTGGGGGCTCTCCAAAATACCAGCTTTAATCTGCAACAAAAAACAGATGGAAAAGCAGAAACTATGTGCTGAAAACGCTTTCACAAAAGCTTTCACAAGCAGTCTCATAAAGCCAAGTTTCAAATGCAGTGTGGGAAATATGATCTTCTCTCTGTTGACTGTTAGATCAATCGCAATGTTTGACATGCCAACCTCCAGACTTTCACCTCCTGGCCACTTCTTCTGTGTCCAATGTTTTTCATGAGCTCGACTGTCCCACAAGGAGTGATACATGGGAACCTAGTGTAGTTTGTCTGCTGACCAAAAAGGAAGCTCACCATTTTCATATCAACACAAATTATCCAGTTGTGTTCATGATATTTAATGAGATCAATAGCTATTTTTCTCTCACTGCGTCCTTTTTTTCAAACCCACTGGAATTGCTCCATATACATTACCATTATGCACTAGAGTACACTTGAGACTACGCTTTGAAATATCTATAAATATCCTCCACTCTCCTAGATCATACGCGGCAATACTCAGTTGCACTGAGTGACCAGGAATATCATGACAACAGACAAACTGCTTGTTTTCAGGAAACTCTGATCGCGTTCACTTGCTCTGCAGCTAAGTAGCTTTTTTCACGTGGCCTGGGGAGATGATGAAAGTTCAGCATCAGTTGCAGAGTTTCCATAAGTTGAAACCGATTCATGCAACTACTCCCCATCTTCATTATCTGATGAAGCAAAAGCTTTAGATGTTTTCAACTGGAACCTCTTCAATGTACGGAATAGATCGAATTGCAGAAAAAATGCTGTGATATGCGATCTTACCCCGGTTTGTCTTGACAATGCCATGCAAAAAGAGCAGCGTGTTATATGGTTCGTAGGTTCTCGCCACACCATGGGAACTTCACATGACAAGCCTTTGCGTTTGCGTTTTGTCCACTCACGAAGCATTTCCTCACACTAATAGCCCACAACGTGAGGTGCCCATTTTTGGTCTTGGTCACCAAAAGGTATTTCAAAGTATGCTTTATATGACATTTTACAAACTGACCGATATTTCTCCTTTGACGGCCGCATATATAACCAAATTCAAAAGACTCATTTGCACATTTATGTCAGTCTGAGTCAGCCATGGTCACTTTTTTGAAACGTGAGTGGATTGGTGTTTAGTTTTCTATTTATGTAAAATACAAAATGCATGCAGAGAAAACAGGTCGAAGATGTGAAATCAGCATTAAAAGTTTATGTAGTATCAGTTTAAAACTATCTTGCCGCAGCAAGTTGAAACTATTTTGTTGCATGTTCTAGCTCCACAGGCGCCAGATGAAATACGCACTAACGATCCGCGAAAGGATGAAACAGTCGTACAGTGCTTCCCCTACTAATCCTTTGTAATAACTACATAGGCCAAACTGCATATAATGCCATAACTTGGTGGCTTAAGCTTGGTTAGTTCGTCGCTTGATGAGTGGGCTATCCTGTGCTCCGCACAAAAGTGACGTGAATATCACTGGTTTCTGGGTGACGCTGCCATTTCTAGTACCTTTGTCTCCTCGGTGGTTACCGTCCCCCGTATTCCAGTGCTTAACACGTGACAGTAGTAGCAGTCCAGTTGCGGATTCGGCACCTACAGGTGCCAGATGAGATGCGTACAGCTGACAATTCCCGTAAGGGTGAAATAGTTGTTTAGTGCTTTTCAGGGCATGTGAGGACGATCTGAATGAGTTTGGATGTGATGAACTACTTTTACTTTTCTTTTTGTTTGTGCTTGCTTTTTCCCAGAGATATCAGACCATCACTGATAGTTTTTTCACCTCTATAGGCTTTGTTGCTTTTTGGTTTTGTTGCTATTCAGATAGGTACAGATATCCAGTCGCTTGCCTTGACTCATCGAATTTTCTTCACCACATTTCTCTCTTGCAGCCGATTTCTTCCAGTTCGTCGCTGTGGCTCTGCAGTACAACGTGTTCAAGATTGAGCGTACTCCCTTCGTCGGGATGTATGGTGGAGGCTCAAATAAACCCGTGCTGATCAACAATATTCCGGGAAAAGGCGAGCGAGACTTTGTCAGCTCAAAAGAGTGAGTTTTTAACCTGGGACTCGCTGTCACTTGTGCGAATTCAATGATGTGTAGCTTTAACGTATGGGCTCCTTTCAAATAGTCTTCATTTTCTCGTCATGGTACTTTACCTCCTGACCTCATGACTGCTTCTTGCATTATCCACACAGTGGCGGAGCCTTTAAATTGGCTGTTGCCTTTTTGCCCGTAGTCTGAAGGATAACAAACCTGCTTTTTAATCCGATGGCGCCGGTTCGAGCCTGTGTACGACCGTTCCAACTCTCGCCGTATTCTCAGGCCACGTGCGAAGGATGGTGATTGCGAGGCAGTGAAACGTCCTTACTGCGTATAGGCGCACTGCTGACGCCTCTTTTGCTAAACACCATTATCACGCTATGAACGGTGGTCTGACTATTTCCAAGGGCACTGGGACAATATACTATTATTATTATATTATTATTATAATATTATATTTCGAATACCAAGGGTGAAATACTGTACACGAATCGCTATTTATTTTTTGGGCGCGAAATTGTATGCAAGTTTAAACCAGAAGGGAAGAAGTGTTATAGTAAAACTTTGCCCTGTTGCTTACACGCAAAGCCCGAGGAGATTCCGTTCAGCAATATGCGATCTTTACTTGGGGAAGTGGAGAGTTTACTCTTGTTTTTTTGTCTATCCTTTTGTGAAATTTTTATTTTCAATGATGTCAATTTAGCCTATCTGCAATTGATACTGTAAAAGCTTGATAATGCACTGGACTACATAATGCTTATCTTCACCTGATTTGAAAGGCTTCCGTCAATTCCAGCGGTCAATCATGTTTACCCCACTGCACCGTCCTCGGAGTCCTGTATCAAACTTGCTGTCTTTTTACAACAATCACGGAACGTCGCCGATCAAGTGTTTGGCTTGTGGATCTTTCCTTATGTCTTCCTTGTGAGATTGAAACAGTCTAGCTTCATGCCGGCACTGGCGACCCCAAATCAAGTTGTAGTATATCACCGAATCCCTGCGACCGAGCAGCTGCTGAGAATGCTCACATTTCCTTGGCTCCTCTATCACTTTACACTCTGACCGCCGCCCGGTAGCCTCTGCTGCGTACCCATATTTGCGCCGCTACTCGTTTCTACGCTTAATGCTTCCACTGCTTGCCGACGATTACCACAACGATTCCTAGTACTCTCAGGGGACTGAATGGCGTAATCTGCATTGTCCACAAGTCCACTTACACATTTCATATCCGGTGCAAATCGGAAGAGACGGAACGGACCGCGTTTGTGCCAGTGGCTAGCCGTATTGCGTCAACACGCACATTACCCCGCGGTCATGTCAAAGGCCACTTTATCATGCATGCATTTTGCTAGCCTTATATCCTGCGTATTCTCTTCAGCCATTTTTATTAGCTCTGTGAGATGACTGTGATGCCTACAAAAACCATCAGTGTCAATGTTATTGATGAAACCTTGGCAGTCATAGATATATTACCTGTGAGTCTGCATACTATTTATCGGTAGGCAAACACATCCTCCCAACCGGAATGGGTTTGGTGGCTCTTGACCCCCACAGCTTCGCCATTCGTAGCCTGCCTTTCTTCTTCTTGTGGGCATTCAGCCACTCTCACACGTAAAGTTCTCGCAAGCATTTACCCTGGACGGACGTATGGTGGTGGGTAAGTATTCACTCTATTCATAGAAAAACACTGGGAGCCCACCACTCCCGCGAATACTATATGCCTCATTGCTTTGAGTAGCTAGTTGCAACTTCCAGCAGTAAGCGCTCGAGATGGCACCATCGCATGGCTGGGTGACTCTGTCGGAATTCGTGTCGCGCACAGCCAAGCTTGATGCAACGAACGGCCAGTTATCGCCCTAACTATTGTGACTTCAATCCCTACACCGGCATTAGCACAGCTACGATTGTACCGCAGTTTCTTGAGAAATATTTATTTTACCCTCTTAGGGAATTTTCCGACCCTTGGGTGTGAGCACTGGGTTTTTATTATACGAAGTTCAGAATGGTTCGTAATCAGCCAGTCAACGCGCATCATCTTGTCACCATCCCCCGCAATCCTAATGGGATAGTTGGAGATGTTGACACACAATTGTCATTTGAATTAAGTATCGTGTAGTCTTTCTAGAGTCAAACCAAACTCTAGACATTGTTCCAAATCTGTTATTTGTACTGCAAGGCATTGTTTATACTGTACAGTAGTGGGGGCGCGACGTCTTCACATAGGTTACTTTCCATATTTTGCGCCTTCCGCGGTTTGTCTACGTTCATCGGTCCATATGTTCTGCTCGCTTGAATCTACTTCTCTTTTCTCTGTTTTGTCCGCCTCGATTTATGCTTTAACGCGTCATCTCTCATTTGTCTCTGTGGCCAGCGTACACGTTTTTTCCGCTCGGGGCTATTGCAGCCAATCCGCTTCGTCCTTGTTCTTCGTAAAGCTGTGCTTTATTCTTTCCAGGCTGAGCCGATCCTGAGTTCTGTCTCTGTCTCGTCCACACGCGACCCGTTTGCGTCGACAACTGCTGATTGGTCTCTGACTTGCCTACAACTCATTGGTCGGCTTTGCTCAAATTATTAATTACTACCACACTAAGGGCCTAAGAAGAAAAATAACACTATTTGTCTACTTGATCTTATTTGGGTTATGCTGGGTTACTTGTATCCTGTACCCGTAGGACAACTAAAAGGTACAAAATCAGTCAAGAGGGAGAGCTGATGACGCACGAAATTGATCGAAAGATTAACTATTTCTCGCGCCCGGTATAAAGACATCAACAGCGCTCCGATTCATTGCTTTTGACGCTTTACGATAAAGCGACCATCACCAGTCGCGTAAACACTGTGGTTGCTGCGATGTCTTCCGCGCCCACGTGGACTCAGCATCATCAAGAGCAGTACATCAATCATTTGAACTGATGTTTCGCTGTCGTACAACCAGGGTGACCTACTGATCGAAGAACAATAAGAGTGAGAGGGGTGGAACTTACGTGAAAACCTTAATACCCTAAGCAAACATTCAGGGTCATGGCGTCTACACCTTGTGATAACAACATACCGTCACAAACAGCTGGCTTTCGTGCGGCATCGGCGAGACAGCTTCCTTGCGGCTTTCACTGACCCGCCTCATAATCGTCAATCACCTCGTAGATAACTCAGCACTAAACACACTTTAAACAGGCAATCCGACTAGGAGTCGGCAGCAAAAGCGTCACTGATGTCGACTGCGAGCCATATCCTGCAACGTCCCAAGCCAATCACATGGTGAGTCACGTGGACTCCAGCCTGGAAGGGGAGACGGACCAACGGCACCGAATTTGGTCGTCAGTGACTTCATTTCCTGCTGCCAACTTAGCTTTGTCCAGCTTGGGTCTTGGGCCACCATACTTCTGGTAAACAAAACAAGGCCCTCTTCCGTAAGCATATGGTAAGCATATGGCATGGTCAAGCCAACCTAACTTATTCAATTCTATCTGTTGTTCTTAGAGACTGGCATGATTATCACTGCCTAGTACACGCTTATGCACATCCTTGTCGCGGACATGCTGGTGACATCCGACACCGGCATTGCTTCGCAGACAACGATGATCAAAGACTTGAAGGCGCCGCAGGTTCTCACACCGAAGAGGCCGATTCTTACTGCCATGGAGTCGGACGGCCCCCATTGTGGCTTAGTATACACAACCTTTCAGGCGGAGGGAAACTCCTTCCTGAGGTCACATATGTCACTGATTCCAAAAGGTAGTTCGATCTTTCGCGGTGCGTGAACTGTATTCAGTCTTTATGCGCCCATCGTTGTCGTGCAGCTGCCAAGATAAGTAAATTGATAAACTACTTCGAGTTCCACGCCATCAAGAGTCAGGGGGTTATCATGTGGCTTGTGATCTTTCAACAGTACTTTGCACTTTGCAAGTGTGAAGCACATACCAAATGATGTGCCTACTCTAGAGTCTGTTCAAGATTGATTGTGCCAACACAACCTCGTTAAAATGCAGGACAGTATCGTCCGCATAATCAAAATCAACAAGCCTTTCAACAGGCAGCGCCACAACGCCTGCATCGTGAAATTCTGCAAGTGAACACTTTATGATGGAGTCCACGACGCGATTGAAAGAAAAGAGGAAACCGGGAAACCCTGATGTACGCCAACTGTTGTCGGGAAGGCATTCAATAAGTCACCGCAGACCTGGACGCGGCCTGTCGTGTTTGAGTATAGAGCACATAAAATGTTCCCATATTTCATTAGAACACCTTTCCGCAAAAATATTTCGAACAGAATGCATTGATCTACTTAATCGAACGCATTCTTGGAGTCGAGGAATACAGGTATTCTCGGCCTGTGTTACGTGTGGCGCTGCTCTAGCACCTGCCGCATAGTGTATATGTGGTCTATACAACCTCTTCTGGGCAGAAACCTGCTTGCTCTTCCGTAATCCGGGATTCTCGCTCCGCAGCGAGGCGATGAACTAGATTTGAGGCCGCTAATTTTGTTACCGCCGACGTTTAGCTAATACCCCTGTGATTTGCACAGTCGGTGTGACTGCCCTATTTGTACATCCTCCCTTACAATTGATCCACTCCGGTTAGCTGGGATGTCCTCTGCGTTCCAGACCGGTTCGAACACGGAGGTCAGTGCTTTGCAGAGAACCTCACCATCATACTTAAGTAGTGCATATGGGAGGGAATCCGGGCCATCAACATGAAAACGATTGTGGGCTGCGATCGCATTTCGGACCTCAGCCTCCGACGGAGCCTCTAAACTAACCGGCCAAGGCTCAGCCTGTACCACCTGAGTAGGAAGTAGTATAGAAGCAGGGGGCCAACCAAACTGATCTTGCAAGTGTTCTACCCAACGAGTCATACGGCGCTCCTTGTTGTGTTTCGGTGCACCCACGCTGTCTCTGATTGGCTGACGCCTGGTTTTCTGGGACCACTGGCGCGGATCAGCTAGAAGAGTTTACGATAATTGCCTGCTACTCCTGCCTCCTCCATTTCTTGAGCCATACTGGTCCACCAGGCTTCCTTATCAGCACGCAGGCTCCGCTTTAGTTCGCGCCTAATAGTCTGTTTAGTCACGTGGTGCTCAGTGCTATCCGGGAGTTTTCTACTGGATTCCAACAGGTTCACCGACCTCTCGGATATCCGGTGACTGATGCGGTGACGATTGATAGTGCCGTCAGCGGAAGCCCCTGCATGGCGACCGAGATCGTATTCCGCTGTACTTCAGTGTCATTAGCACTAGAGAGCGAAAGTTCGGTATGCAGGTCTTCCTGATATGTTTGCCTGACCGAAGGTTGAGATAATTTTCCAGTTGCTAATCTAGGGATGCGTTTGGTACGCCACCCGCTAAAGCTCAAGGAAAAACGACAGCGTACCAAGGCATGATCAGAGTTGACGCAAGTACTCCAGAACGAGCCAAAATCCATGATGGAACCACGCCACCTGTAACTTATGGCAAGGTTGTCAATTTGGGTCCATCGCTAGCCATCCACAAAATGACGCCAAGTGTTATTTCGGCGCCTACTGTGTTTAACAACGGTGCTACTACGATACAGCTAGTGTTCCGCACACAACTGAAACAGACGTCTGCGTTTATCTGTCCGTCCGGAGTTAAGTCCATATTTGCCACCTAGTAAAGATTCTAGCCCAGCCATCTACGCGGTACGCAAACCGTCACATAACATGAAGGTCCAATCTCGTTGCGACGGTTACGCAACCCTGAACCTGTTACCTTTGGGCTACAAGCCAAACGTCTCTGCCACTCCACTACTGGGGGGTATTTTTTATCTCTACAGTTGTCTCCATATCTAAGCGTCCATTCAAGCTGCTTTTCTGTGTACCAAGTTGGACACATTTTGGCAATCAGCGATACCGGAGTTCATTTGCGCGAGCTTGAGAGATCCTGCCTCACGTCCATTTTTCTAGATTCTTATGCGTGTATTCGGGATGTTCAGATGCTTTGTGGTCGTAATCAGAAGTAAATACATCCGACAGTCGTTAACTTCCGAAGAGCCTGTCGGCTTTGTTTCATTTACTGGGATATTTTGTCACTTTAAAGAGCTGAAATCAAGAGCTCACTTCATTGGAGTGCAGGAATGGGAGAGAGCAACATCGAAATCCACTTCAGATATGGTTCCGGTGATCGGAATGGCAGAGGCTGACTTCAAAGTCAGTCGTGGCCACATTTGAGATTGCGTGTCGCAATCGGAGATACACGGCGGTTGCTCCAAAACCCGACAATCGACTTCTAACCGCTATGTCAAGCGCTACCCGCGGAGCTCCATGGCTTAATGATCATGCCGATAGCCGCAAACCTTGTTCTACTGCAACCTCAGGCTACCTCTACTTGATGAGTCTAAGCAAGGATGTAACGCGTAGTGGAGTGCAGGTATGGAAGAGATTAACGCCGAAACTATCCACTTCGGATACAGTTTCAGTGACAAAAGTTGCAGAAGCTGATATTGAAGTTAACCGAGGCCACAATTGAGATTGCGTGTCTCAATTCAAGTCGCACGGCGGGTGCTCCAGAACCCTCCATTCAAGACTTATTTTGAAACCGGATTTAGACCTTCATAGTGGGATTTGTGATCAATCGCTGGATGTGCGGATCGCGATACATAATCCCCGTGGAGACCTCGGCCACATCCGAATCGGCGGTTTGTCAGTGTTGCCATCTCCTATGGTCGCACTCCATGACATGTCTCGTCCTTATTTGGACCCTTTAGATAGTGATGGATTTAGCTGGGCGTGAAACCACTGCGTGCTGAGTTCCGTTCTTAGCTCAGGCTATTTTTACCCGAAGTCGGAATCAGGACGAAACAGGACCGTCGTGGAGTGCAATTTTACGAGAGCGCAGCACCGAAGCTCTCCACTTTGGATGCGGCCCCCGGTACTCGAAGTAACGGAAGTTTACTTCAAAGTAAACCGCGCCTCAAATTGAAATCGCACTTTTTAATCCCAAGATGTCCGATTATTCAAAACCCCATAATGAACTTCCAACTGCTGTGTCAGGCGCTGTTTTTCAGTGTTCATTGCCCTAATAACAACGGTGTCAGTCGTAGATCATCACGTGCTTAGTTGCAGAAGAGGGATCAGCAGTACGGACGTTCACTGCCTCGGAACCACCACCAGTCACGCGTGGGCTGTGGATACTGCGAGGGTCTCGGTCCCCTTCGTAGGCTCGAATCCCCAGTGTTTTAGAATGCAACATGCTAACTCTTTCAGATTTCTTAATTCCAACCATCCCCATGGTTTCTAACTTACCCACACACTGTAAATCTGCACATACGCCTATTCAGATTCCAAATTTAGGTTGTTGATCTATCACCGTTCCGAGTCATTATCAACCTTATTTTTCTAAATCTTCCAGATCGTACATGGACTACGTGCGCCATCTGATTTTCTACTGGTCCTATTGGGTCAGTTTGGCGATTGTGCTTGCAACTGGCGTAACGTGGATCACCCTCTTCTGTCTTGGTTACATGATACTCAGTTTCATCTATTTGTGGATGGGACAAAATGTTATGCTTCGCAAACGTGTCAACTTGATCAAGTCGTGAGTCCCCTTCCCCTCTCGCACATTTGGCTCAATTTTCCTGTATTTGACACTATATCACCACAACGACCGATTATTGCTACAGGATTTGAATATCATTTACCTGGTTGTTTCATTATCGTTAGGGATGTATGTCATCATCATCATCATCAACAGCAGTACATCATCCATTTGAACTGATGCTTCGCTGCCATACAACCATGAGGACCTATGAAATAAAGAATAAGAAGAGGGAGAGAAAGGGGACTTACCTGAAAACCTTAATGCCATAAGCAAACATTCTGGGTCAAGGCGCCTACACCTTGTATAGATAACATGCCGTCATAAACAGCTGTCTATCCTGCAAAGATAAGGCGGCATCGGCGAGACAGCTTCCTTGCGGCTTTCACTGCCATGCGTGATAATCAGCCATTACCCACACAGATAACTCAGCACCAAACACACTTTAAACAGGCAATCCGATTAGGAGATGGCAGCAGACGCGCCACTGGTGTCGGTTGCGAGCCATGTCCTGTAAAGGCTCGAGCCAAGCACAAGGCGAATCAAGTGGACTCCAGCCCGGAAGGCGAGACGGACCAACGGCACCCAGTTTGGTCGTCAGTGACTTCATTTCCCGCTGCCAAGTAAACTTCAATCCAACTCGAGCCTTGCGCCACCCTACACCTGGTAAACTGAACAAGGCCCTCCTAGGTAAGCGGTGACCAGGCATACGTAGCACGTGCCCGAGGCAACGCAACCTATTCAGTTCTATCTGTTGTTCTAGGGAGCTAGCATGATTATCACCACCTAGTACTCGCCTACGCACATCATCGTTGCGGACACGCTGGTGCCATCCTACACCGATAATGCCTCGCAGACAACGATGATCAATGACTTTAAGATGCCTCAGATCTTCAGACCGAAGGGGCCAAGTCTCACTACTATGGAGCAGAACGGCCCTTACTGTGGCCTTGTATACACGGTCTTTCAGACGGAGGGAAACCTCCTTCTGTCGCCAAATATGCCGAAGGTTCAAGAAGGCAGTTTTGGCCTTTGCAATGCGTGAGCTCACGTCAGTTTCTATGCGCCCATCATTGCTGATGCAGCTGCCAAGATAAGTGAATTGATCAACCACCTCGAGTTCCTCGTTAACAAGCGTCAAGGGGTCATCAAGTGGCTGGTGGTCCTGCAGCAACACTTTGGACTTTGAAGGTGCGAAGTGCATACCAAATAATGGGACCACACTGAACAGGCTATTCAGGGTTGATTGTGCCGCCTCAACATTGTCGAAAAGCAAGACGATATCGTCCGCATAATCTAGATCAACTAACCTTTCACCAGGCAGCACTTCAACACCTACGTCGTGAGATTCCGCAAGGGAACACTCCATGATACAATCCACGACGAAATTTAACAAAAATGGGGAAATCGGACAACCCTGACGAACGCCACTTGTGTTCGGAAAGCTATCCGATAGGACACCATAGACTCTGATGCGACCTGTAGTGGTCGAGTATAGAGCACGAAGGATGTTCGCATATTTCGTGGGAACATCTTTTCGCGCAAGTAATTCGAACAGAATCGATCAATAGACTGAATCGAACGCACTCTTGAAATCGAGGAACACAGCTGTTGTCGGTCTATGGTATGTGTGGCGCTGCTCTAGCACCTGCCGCAAAGTGAATATATGGTCTATACAGCAACGTCCTGGGCGAAAACCAGTCTGCTCTTCCCTAATCCGAGATTCCAGTTCTGCAGTGAGGCGACGAACGATAATCGAGGCCAGTAATTTTGTCACAACTGGCGTTAGGCTATTACTCATGTGGTTAGAACAGTCTGTACGACTGCCCTTCTTGTATATTGCCACTATAGTCGATTCGCTCTAATTAGCCGGCACACTCTCTTCGTTCCAGATACGTTCGAATAGGGAGGTCAGTGCCCTGCAGAGGACCTCACCTCCATCCTTAAATAGTGCAGATGGGAGGGAATCTGGGCCAGCGTCACGAAAACGATTGAGGGCTATGATCGCATTTCGGACCTCGGCCTCCGACGGAGGCTCTAAACTAACCGTCCATGGCTCGTCTTGCATCACCTGAGTAGGAATAGGTCCGGGAGCAGGGGGCCAGCTGAACTGATGTTCAAAGTGCTCAGCCCAACGAGCCATACGGCGCTCCTTATTGTGTATCAGCGCACCCGCGCTGTCCCTGATTGTCTCACTGACGCCTGGTTTTCTCGGACCAGTGGTGCGGATAAGCTGGAAGAGCTTGCGGTAATTGCCTATTGCTCCTGCCTCCTCCATTTCTTGGGCCCTACTGGTCCACCGGGCTTTCTGGTCAGCATGTAGGCTCCGCTTTAGTTCACGCTTAATAGCCCGTCTGGTCACATTGTGTTCAGAACCAGCCGGGAGGTGTCTTCTAGATTCCAACAGGTTCACGGACCTCTCGGATATCCAGTGACTGGTGCGGTGACAACTGATAGTGCCACAAACAGATGCTCCTGCGTCGTGTATAGCGACCGAGATCCTATTCCACTGAAGTTCAGTATCATAAGAACAAGATGGCGAGAGTTCGCTATGCAGTGCTTCTTGATAGGCTTGCCTGACCGAGGGCTGGAACGATTTCTCCGTTGCCAATCGGGGGAGACGCTTTGTGCGCCTTCCGGTAAAGTTCATGGAGAAACGACAGCGCACCAAGGCATGATCAGAGTCGACACAGGTACTCCAGTACGAGTGACCATCCAGAATGGAACCGCGCCACCTGTAATTTATGGCTATGTGGTCAATTTGGGTCCATCGCTGGCCAGCTACAGGTGGACGCCAAGTGGCACTTCGGCGCGCACTGTGTCTAAAAGCAGTGCTAGTAAGAAACAACTGGTGCTCCGCATAAGGCGACCCTTGATAATCTGCGCGACGGCCGATGCAGGATGAAGTTGATGTTTGAAGAAAATGCCATATTTGTATATGGGCTGAGATACTGCCAGGGCGCCCAGACCTAGACAGGAGAACGATTAAGGTCCTCATCCAAAGCCTTTGGCTCAAAAGCCTGTCCGCAAGGCAGCGGGGTGGCAGTGATTTAGTTTTACAGAAATGGACGCCATCCTATTTCAAACCCCCAACCTGGGGGACCAGGAGATTGAGTTTGTCTGACCTCTCATCATTGACCAACCTGGTAGGAGTAGCTCTCAAGATGCTCGGAGGCATCACCCAGTATAGCTCATTGGGCCAATGAGGTACGCAAACCGTCCCGCCACGTTAAGGTCCACTCTCGTTGCGACGGTAGGGATGTATGTACATTATTGAAACAGTTCGCTTAGGTAATCCTACAGGGTGTGCTCTCTCATGTATAACACTAAAGTCACTGCTGAACTCTCCAGCCATCTGTGTTGGATACATCCCGTTCTTCGCACTGGCTACCCAGCTGATGGCTTCACAAGTGTGCGGAAAATACATCTCTTTGAATCGCGCTACACTTGGCTTGATCAAATACCCTAAGATCGTCTACCTTGACGATGGCGTCGCATTCAATCTTTTCTCCCTTCTTTCTTGTCGCAAAATGTCAACTTCCTTTGACCCTTTCCAATGAAACTTTTATTTCGCCCTCTCCTTCTATTTTTGTTATGACACATCATTCCTGCTAACCATGATGTCCATCGTGATAGCGTCTTTGCTTGCAGGATCTCATGAATCGGGTTCTAACATCTTGTCTGAGGGAATACTGGTTGATCTAGCTTATCCAGGTGATGTCATCTTGCTGTTTAACTTCAACATTAACTATTTGTCCTATCCTTTACTTTGAGCTTTACGCTTTTGAAGTACATAATGTTATTGCCAGTTGATTACGGGCTCTACGACGAACCGAAGACAGTTGATCAATTCACATATATTAGCAGCTGAACTGGCAGCGAAGTTCATCTGTGTATTGAGAACCTACAACTGTTTTGCTGAATTGGCAACATGTTTGATCTCGGAGAGGCCAAAGGTACGAACACATGTAGTAATGGATACTATTTCACTCTGTCGCAAAATTTGGCTCCTTCGCTCTCATTTTTCGAGGCTAGTCAAGAAAAGCTTTACTTTGTTTGCTTCATATAGGATGGCGCAGGGTTTGACATGGCAGTCCTCGATTTGGCTGCTAAAAATATAGTAATTGTCCACTCAGTTAGGTTTTTTTTGGTCAGTATCAGCTTCCAGTTCGGGGCCCCTGTGGGGTCCACTGTGTACTTGACTGGAGACAATGCTGGACACCACACCGTCATCACCATTGACTATTTGTTTAAAGTGTTTACTACACCGACTTACATGAGGAATGTGTTTTGGATCACTCGAGCATTGTTTTAACTCATCCGGATCGTGGGTGAAAGTATCTTTTCAGGCATCGCGCCGATAATCGAAAAACCTGAGCATTTGGTTTGTTCTCAGTCACGTTAGTCGAACCGCTGAGTGGAACATCTCGGTGAGCATCTCGACTACGTGCTGAACCACCTGAACTCGTCTGGAATTTTGGTGTTGCACATCCTTCTTTGGATCTGACATAAAATAGCACTGGTGAAAAAATATAGAGTACTTGGGAAGGTGGAGCAGGACCATTTATGCCTGATACAGTTGCTTTTTTTCAACGCCATGGAAGACACTGAAGTGGTGCTACCTTCAATCTGCTCGCAATCCACCGGAATTCATTGATTGCAGTTGCATAACAACGAAGATTCCCTTTGCTTTATGTTTGCGATTGCTGCGTCTTGTTGGGCGAATAAATTTTGACGAAATCGACCGAGAAGCTCTATCAGTCTAGCACGTGTAGTCTCTCGAATTGTGTCACATTAGTGATGGTCAGTGAGTCAGTAACGCCCCTGCACTCGGTTCCTTGCGTCCAGCTATTCGCATCTTATCCCCATTGATTTCATCAACCATCTTTAATCCTTTGTGTTTACATTTCGCTTTTTTCCCTTACTTTTCTCAGCGTTGTCAATTGTTACTACTAGAACGGCGACGTGAGCCACGGCAACCGTGTCCCTTGCACTCCGCTGCTGCCCTTATCCATAGTTGTTTAAACTAGTATGCTGGTTGTGGCGTGATGTGGTCAACTTCATAACTGACTGTATCTTTAACCAGCTCTTTGTTACGTATACGCATTGTCACCAATCTGTGGACTCATTGATTTTTGATGTTTGCATAATTTGTTTACATTAGCTGCTATTGTTGTTGGTCAATTAAATCCAGTGTTTTTCCCCCACATAACCATACTGCCTAGTCTGCCACCTACGACACCCCTTCTCCAATCATCTGTTCGGTACTCCTTTATCCTGCTTTGTTCGCATAGTGAAGATCTTGTGTCATTTTGTGACGATGCTTTTTCCATTTCCAGCCACATGCGCACGTTTCCTTTGGTTGATATATCTCATCACTTTTTCAGGTGGAATGTTATAATTGGGTACAACTTTTGCGTTATTCTGGCCAAATGCAGTCTTCAGGTCGTTGGCTGTGTGTACTGGGCCAGCCTGTCACGCCAGTGTTGGTTTATCCAGCTGTTTGGTGTTCAATGCATGGATCCGATGTCTTGGTCCCAATTCGAAACCCCTAGTGAGTTGCACTGTCCTGGATGCCTCCAAATCACTTTCGATTTGTTAACGCTGATTCTGCTGATGATCGGTTCTCTTTACAATCACTCTGTGTAGCCGTTATTCTGCTGTTCGGTGAAATGGAACACGACTTTTGCCCTTCACTTGCTTTTCTGTGCTTTCATCTCTAAACCCCGTCATCAAATGTGTGCGCTCTCTCAACGTATATGTAGTGTCCCCCTAGCGATACACTACGGGATGGTTTCCATAAGTAGTGGAATTTGTCTCCCCCACCTTCTATAGTTTTATTGCATTCCCACCCCCACCCATGTAAACACCTGCTGTTGCCCAAACTACTCGAGTGCTTACTTATGAACTAACACTTGTCAAATCCTACTGGTTGACACAATTCTGAAGCTTATTTGTTTCATGCTCTCGAAACGAATCCACTCAAAGTTTCGTGCGGCCGTCAACTGCAAAGTTCACTTGATCGATACTTTAGGTCTTAGTGAAAATCCAGCATGAAATTGCTGTGCTACTTTTTGGATTTCCGATTTCGGACTGCTGTCATCTTTTTTCCCAAATTATTAATAAGCTGTTATTGTCGTCCTCGTCGCTAGTGGGACCTGAGGGTTGCACGTTTCGGGTTGGAATTAATATGCTCTTTCGCGCACCCCTCAGTATTTCCCCTTCGTTTGAATAGTGTACCACAGGACAATATAGGTTCCAACCTGCCGTTTGTAGGATATTCGGTATTGCTCCATTTTAACCCTACAAGCAACATCGTACACCCTCCACTTTGGATATGCTGTGTCCAGAGGGATGTATGTGTACTTCTAACTAAATTGAACTCCTAATAGAAACTGCACGTCGTAATCCAACCTCACGATGGACGCTTCAAATGTAATTTTGAATTCCTTACTGTTGTGCCAAGCGTTGCTCACAGATCTCAGTGACTTGATGACCAAGGCATCAGTTGTTAGTCATTCGACACACAGTTCCACTCCTAGCTCCGGCTACCTCTAAACGAGGACGAACCTGGTCGGTCGTGGAGTGCCACTTCAAATGAACCTAAGTCCAAATTGAGACTGCGTATCACAGTCTAACATCAAACGAAACCATCTGATTGTAGTGAGTGCAGGTTCTGTTTAGTCTTCAGTATATGTGCAGTGTTCTCTTAGGATATGGATAGTTAAATGCGGCTACTTTCTCATGATTTAAGGATTCGTTTTGTAGTGTCAGACTAGCGCCCTTGACTAAATCCGTACTATTGTGGCTGTTATCCTCATCTGTGTATCAGTGCCTTGCGCCACTCTCGATTGATACACGTATGTGCAAATGCAGATGTTTATCTACTGTCTCCCTACCTCTTACTTCATTAATCCATGTTCGCAGCGTAGGTGCATTTTTGTCGGTATATCTTCGGTAGATACTTTTTTCCCCTTGCAACTCCAGGAGTGAAATAGTCGATAATCTATCTATTGAGAGAATTTACGTGGGCAACCCATTCTTCTTGTGACTGCTTAGTTGCATCTGCTTTACCTCACCGAGTTACCCAAACTTGATTCACATGCACGTTTCCCACTTTGTCCAGAGTTCTTTTTAGTTCCGTACCATCAACTATGCTTAACACAAACCTCCATTGGGGAACATAAAGTTTGCACGTCACTCAGTATGGATATGGTAACAAGTTCATGCGACGTGCCAGCATTCTTGCTTCTGTTTCAGGGATCCGCTCGTTTCGCGCGTCTCTTCTACTCTCCTGATCTTATTCTCCCTTATAGCCTACGACAAAGAATGCACCTCAGTCTCAAGCGGCCTTCACTGGGACGTGATTTGTTTCATCTTCATTTTGTTTCAACGGAAGGTCTTCATGACTCAAAGCTTCAGCCACGTGGTGTTTGATTTGAATGTGCAGAGTCAGTTTGCTTCCCGGTACGTCCCTTCTCCCAGACAATATTCACATGGCCCCTCGGTGTAACACTTGCTTTTCCCCTTTTAACACATTATTGTTATATTTCAGAGGCGCTTATCTCTTCAACCGAAGGCTAATGTCAATTATCAGCGAACAGATGGAGCGTGAAGAGCGATCTTTGGAGAAAATTCGTGAAAAGCTGGAGGCTATTCAGCGACGTCAAGCAGCCTTGGGTCGAAACACGGCCAACATCACTGAGCATTACATAAGTAAGACCGATTGCTCTCTTCAATTCGAGGCAATTACTGTTTTTCGCCGCTGCCATGATCCGCCTCTTTCTACCTTCTCTCCGCTTGAGTTTCGCGACGTTGGTTGCGATAGCACAGTTTAGAAATACACTTATGTTTGAATTGAATATTCCGTCATTTATAGATGGATATTGCTAAATTTTCTACACCGCGAGACAACCGGTTTCAGCAACGCAAATCGTAATAGCGTTTTACCACATTAACGGCTTACTAAATAGTTTTCCTAGGTGACACTTGGAGCTTTTACGCCCGCTAGCGTCATCAACAGTACGTTAATGTCACACAGTAGAGAGCTTAAAATATTTGATTGCGAATTCATATTGTAGGGTTTGGCGATACTCTTTTCTTAAACCTGATAATTTATTGTATTGACGAAGTCCAAGTAGCAACAACGAAATGTTTTTCGACTGATCGGATTCCGATCTCGAAGTGCCTCCAGCAAATGGCTTACTGCATCCAGTTTATCGCTCTTTCTTTCGAGCTGGTCAACTGTTTCGCAGTGTTCCGCAACAAACGAAGGAGGATTACGAGTACAGGGAATCTAATGAGGTCTTTTATTGCAAGTTATCAAGATCGCAGAATACAGCAGGGAAACCACCCAAAGATTGACCGGAATAGAAGATCTACCTATGTTCGTCAAGTTGTGTGCAATTCAAAAGTGAAATACATTTCTGCCGATTTGCGCGATATTAACTATAACGCCTGGAGTGGCATTCTTAGAGCACCGTAACATACACTGGCGGCTCACCATTGTCTTGTCCCTCGATAGCAAAAGTGCCTTCGATCCGGTTAAACAACGTGCCCTTTGGGACTGTCTACTCAGGAAAGGTGTGCCCGATAAATATTTAAATATTGTTCGAGCGTTATACACGCTTTGTTCAGGCCGAGTGAGGGCATACGGCAAACTGTCGCCGCCCATCGGTATCTCTAGTAGTGTGAGACAAGGATGCCCGCTGTCACCTATCATCTTCAACTTCGCCGTTGACGAAGTCATATAGATCACGTTCACAGGACACGACTGAGAAAGTGTGGAGCTGCTTCTTGGTAAGTGACTTCTTGACTTGGGGTATACTGACGTTATTGCCCTCATCTGTGATAACTCCCAAACGTGTCAATCGGCACTGGAAAGTTATCACTGCTTGTTAGCCGTTCCAGGATATGCTTGGCACCCTCGAAGTGCAAAGCTGCTATCGTTTGCACTCTTGAAGTGCAAAGCTTTTCTCCAAGATTAGCAGGGACCGCCTCCTGTGCTGACTCTTGGTTGATGTCAACTGGAAATCCCTTACAAATTCATCTATCTAGGCAGTTGTATCAGCGCTTTCGGAATCGAGGACAAGCTTACGAACCGTATAACACAAATTCGAGGTGCTTTTGCTAACCTTAGCCACCTATGGCGCTGGTGTGACATCGCTCTCTCCATGTAGAGTAGAGTCTACAATCCAGCCGTCCGTTCAACTCTCCTTTACTGCTGGGAAATCTGGCCCATTTTATCAGCGGATATAAGGAGGCTGTTAACCTTCTATCACTGGTACCTTCACAGTTGGGCTCACATCTGGTGGGAACACCGTGTGAGCAACGAGCGTGTTTAACACCTTGTTTTTCGCACAGGAAGGGAAAAGAAACTGCTGAGCACCGTGATTTCACACACCACCCTCAGGTGGCTGGGCCACGTGTCGCGGATGCCAGCCCACTGACTCCCGCGACGTGCATTGTATGTGCGCCGGGGGGGTGGGGGTGGAAGAAGAGCTGTGGCCAATCGATGACTTTGTCGAGAGGAATGAAGACCCTTACTTCTACCTTGGCATCGGTTGGAGCCTCTCGGCTCCCTGATTGGAGACCGAAGGACGGTGAACATGTTTGCCTGAATACACTTGATGCATGCCTAGGAGCCGACCTTAATGGTGTTCGTGGTCTGAGTCCCTATCCCTCCCCATCTCCCTTAGTCTCCCCCTCCAACCACGATCACATTTCTTAGCAAAATATAACTTTCATAATAAGTTTATTGCTACATAGTAGCTGGCATGTAGCTTTTCGGAACGATGCCCATCCGTTACTGGTAGCTCAGCAGGCGTGCACCTGTTGTATGTCTTTTTATCTTCTTATGTATTGCGGCACAGTAGCTGAGGTCTTTTCCATCTCTAGATAATGTGTATGATGATGAGGATGAGGATGCGACTTCCTTAAGTCATCTAATTAATATATTTTGTAAGCAGAGCAAGCGAAGGCGTCATATTACCACAAGTAGCATCAATTGTTAATGTTTCTAAGGTATTATTGCTTCTTTATCTATATTGGACGTCATGAATTGTAACCTCACAACTGACACCATGGAGGTGTGTAGAATTACGTTACTACTGTAAATCAAAGAAGGTACAAAATCTCAGAATTATTTAGAAATGTAGTTTAGGGCAAAGGTTGTCTGTCGGCTGGCCGGCCGGCTACTGAAATAGTGAGGCATATTTGTCTTATAATCCTAACGCCATCGGTTCGAAACTTCATAGATGTAGGCGCTTTCCTCGAATCCCATTCCCCTCGCACGCGGCTGGTGTTAAACTAAACTGATGCGGTGAAGTATACGTTCAAATGAGAGGGAGAGAGGGAAATGTGGCTGCTCCTGTTTTAAACTCCCGATGCATCAATGTTTGCACACATAGTGGGTAAGTCCTTCAGCGCAAGTATTGAGAACGGGCATAATGAGTTTGTTGAAATAGGGAGCAAAAGGGAACAGATGTTTCGGTTAAATGAATTAACATGATAACTCGGTTTCTAAGCTGCTGACTCGTACACTTTTGCACGAATACTGAACGTGTTTCGCAACACAGTGGGGTGATGGATTAAAATGAAGTACATGAGGAAACAAACTGCCGGACTTTCCGGAGAACAAATCACTGAGGGAACTTGATTTTTAAACTAACGTTGCATCGGTGTTTTGCGCCAACCCTCCTCGAGAATTTTAGCACAAGATCCTAGGTATATGAATAATGAGTTCGACGGGGTGACATTTACGTCGCATTCTCTTTCTAAGTGTCCCGTTCTTTGGGAACACAACTTCTCGATCGTTGTCTTTCATCGAAATAATCTTGAGCTTTCGACATCTAGTGGAATAGACTTAGTTCGGCTTTAAACACCCTATTCCCCTGATTAACTTTTTGCATGTTGCTTGCTACACGTTTCTTAACGTAACGGTTCTGCTACCTTTTTCTGGTATTGTAACACCGTCTATCCTCTCATTATATATCCGTTTTCTAACCATGTCTGATACTATTGTCTCGTTTTCGTATGATTTTTCCACATTAGTGCTCCGATCCGGTGACTACTACCTGTTCGAAGGTGACCCCGAAGAGGATGACGAAACTCCTTCCAAAGAAGAGCTCAAATCGGAATCATGTGCTTCGATCAAACGGATACACCGGCCATCAGACCACGAGCCACCTGCGGGTTCCGCTGCTGGTATTCTTCATTCACCATTTCCTGCTCATCTTCCATCGATGCGCACTGGTGGGAGCCGTAGCCGAGCGCTGTCTATACCACAGGATTTTCAAGCTGGCACCCTTAATAGATCCGGCGGCCCTTCCGTTGGTTTCGTCCAAGACAGGTGGAACTATCCGACAATTGCACAACGCCATCCTCCATTGATGAGCGCCGTTCCCCACATCGAGCCGTCAGTGATGGAGATTTTGTCTAATTACACTGATCCCTACAGCACCGTCAGGTTCGTGCAGTGATTCAGCTTGATTAGATTTATCTGTTCCAGCTGGAGTCTTTAAGAACCATTTTTCTCTGTGTGACCTCATCGAACTATTATTGTTTATTTCGCCGGTCAATTTTCTGTCGACGAACGTCTTTCTCTCAACATATTTGTGCGTCTTGCAATGAATCCTCGAGCTGAGCCATCCTCAACACTTGTTAGACCAAATTTATTCATCCTGTCGGTTCGTACTTTTACCATCGGGTATTTCTCGACTTCATGAGGAACTTTGCCTCATCCCTGGGACAGATGGGATTTCACAAACGTTCACACGTCTTTGCACAAACAACCTAAAACACCTTGTAGTTGGTTTTCTAGGTAGGTGCAAAATCATTTCCTAGTAATGACTTGCAAAAATGTGCTTTTCTCCACAAAAAGTTGAAACGTGGTATTCTTTATTCCGATGGCATGATATGTAGCACACATCGGGAACAGTAGTCGTATTATGACTCGTGATTGAGAAAAGATCGTACACATTTTACGGTGCAGTTTCCGGGTGTCACTCTAATACTTGACTGAAGAAATTTCGAATTGTAGACATTGAAATTGATAAACTTACTGGCTTTCTTTAATTACTGGAGTCATCAAAACGGCAGATATCTGATGAAGTGTTTTAGCTGGGTTCTTAAATCCTTTGGAGATGACACAGCTTCAAGTGCCGGTCAAGCTGGTGTCGGTCTTGAGTCCCCGGGCTGAGGCTGCCCTGGTCGATTGGATCCCACTCAACAGCTGAATGCGCCGTCAGATTAGCTGGCTCTTTCTAGGTTTCGAAGTCGCGCGGGGACAAACGACGCCTGTTTGTCATTGCAGCCCACTCTCCCACAAACTGTAGCGGGGATTCGGTGAAACACGATTTCTATCACCAATTTAATGATCCACTTCGTCTCGGAAAGAGTACGGATACTGTGGTGCTTTCTGGTGAACTGAACGCCCAAGTCCTCTGATGAACTTCATCTGGGCGGCCAACATGGTGTAGGCTCCCGTAATGATAACGGTGAGCGGTTGCTACACCTGTGTGAAGATGCTCGTCTCTTTCTCGCGTGCACTAACTTTCGACCCAGCACCCGCAGAAGGGTGGCTTGGCGCCCACCAGTCTCGGACCACCCATGGACGCAAATCGATCATATCGAGGTTAGTTACCATTTGAGAGGCTGTATCCAATACTCGCTCGATTTAGTGTACAGCGTGGACTCCGATCAGGCTCTTGTGTGTGCCGACGTTCCGGTGCGTTTCGGGCGACATCCGTAACGTCGCTGCGACCTTATTGAAACGAGCCAGCTGGCGAATCGATATGTTCTGAATGCGTAACATAGTTCACTGGCATCCGGGCTGAGTAAGCGCCCACTGAACACCGTTGAAGATCACTGCCTGTATATTCGTCAAACGTTACTACCAGTAGGCATGTCTTCATGTAGCAAATTAAATTGCCATCTTAGACATTGGGTCTCCACACAGTCACTGGAGCTTGTGGATGCTCGCCGACCTATTCTGGCTGGAAGCGAACACATTGAGACTCGCTAAAATCTCAGGGTAAAATTGCGTACTAGCCTGCAGAGACACCGCGAAACCTGGTGGTCCCATCGTGCCTCAGAAATGGAAACAGCTGCTGTCCATGGATGTTATCCCGTCTGATACGGACAGCAGGAGATCCGGTGTTATCGAGGTGATACGCGGTGAGAGTGGACGGCTGATCCACGGCTTATCAAAACGCTTGGAGCGTTGGGTCGAGTACTTTACAAAACTGTCTAACTAACCTATTATCACTTTCTTTTTCGGACATTGACTGCCCTTATCCTCGGGCCGTCTCTTTGTATCCGCCCTCATGCACAGAAGTCATACGTGAGATAAGACTGTTGAAATTGCGTATAACCGCAGGAGCAGATATTATTCCTTTAGCCCTCTTCACATTCGGGGACCTGCTCTAGTAAATAATTTACACGAGTTGCTAATGTAATTTTGGGAGCAGAACACTGTCCCGACAGACTGGAGACCCTCCGTCATAGTCCTAATTTCCAAAGGAGGCTCCCGTTCGGAATGCGGCAACCATAGAGGGATCTGTTTGATCTCAATTGCCTCTAAATTGCTTACCTGTCCTTCTCCACAGACTGGCTGGTGGACGTGAAGGCTAGATCTGGGAAAAGCAAGCCGCGTTTCGTCGAAATCAAAACTGCGTCGACTACATCTTCACTTTGCATCAGTTGTTGGAGCACCGCTATGTTTATTAGCGGCCCACCGTTGTCATGTTTTTCAACATACAAGGTGCCGTCGATTCGGTTGATCATTGGACGTTCTGGGACTGTCTGCTGAGGAAAGGTATGCCCAACAAATACGTTAACATTATTAGAACGCTGTACGTGCATATTTAGGAAGAGTGAAAGTTTACGGTAAACTTTCGCCGCCCTTCAATATCTCCAGCAATGTGAGACAATGTTGCCCGCTTTCATCTTCCATCTTTAACTTCCTCATTAAGGAAGTTATGGAAACAGCGTTCGCCGGGCACGACTGAAGTGTGGAGCTGCTTCTTGATGCTTGACTTGGAGTATGCGGACAATATTGCTCTAATCTGTGACAGCTCCCAAACGTGTCAAGCAACACTGGACCGATTAGCACTGACTGTCAATCGTTTTGTGCTATGCTTTGCTCCATCGAAAGACAGAGTCCTCCAAGATGGGCAGGGACCAATCCCTTCACTGACCCTTGGTGAGGATCAGCTGAAAACCGTTCAGGAATTCACGTACCTGTGCAACTGTATTAGAAGACTAGGTTACAAACCGTATAGCAAAAACTCGAAGTGCTTGTGCGAATCTACGTCACCTGTGGCGCAGACCTGACATTACTCTCGCTCTGAACGGTAGAGTTTATAACGCAACCGTCCTTGCAACCCTATTGTACGGTTGCGATACCTAGCTCATAAAGACGACAGGCATAAAGTGGCTCGTTACCTTCGCCCGTCACTGGCCTCACAGTTTAGCTCAAGTTTGCTTGGAGGACTGCGTGAGCATTGGGCTTGTTCGGCGTTGCGTATTTGGTGCAGGAAAAGCGGGTGAACCACTCAGCACCATTGTATCACGCACCAGGCTCCGAGGGCTGGGCCAGGCATGCTAGCCTACCGACTGCCTCATCGTGCTTTGTTTGTGCACCCCGGATCTGTATGGAAGAGAAGGTGTGTAAGCCATGCGATGACTTGGTCGGAAGGTATGAAGGCCCTCACTTCGAAGTCGACGTCGGTTGGTGCATCCCGATTGCCTGACTAGGGTCTCAAGAATGATGAACACGTTTGGTTGGACACACTTGCTGGCATGTCGAGAAACTGGCCCCACTCCAGTTACGATCTCGTACAAAATGCATAACTTAATATTTAACATTTGATTACTTGCTTTTTGAATTTTTCGTCTTGTGGTTTTCATATTTTTCTATCATTATGTATTACGGCACATTAGCTGTGGTGTGTTTCTCAGCCTCGGCTAATGTTTCCGGCGATGATGATTGGACTTGTCAGTGGACAAGTGAGCACATAGTATGATAGGTGCCTTTTCGTTTTTCCAATATTAGAGTTGGTTATCTGCCTAACAATTTCTTCGTATGTTTTTGGACCACCTTGTCGATCTGCTTGCGTTCAGCTTTCCCTTAAGAGTTTTGCTGTTTAACCGAAGCCATTGTGCGTAATTACATGCTTCACTTATTTTATATCGGCGATCAACAATTTTCAGGCTACTTTCGTCATGCTAAACAACTCAGTTAAAAGATTAATTAGCTTGGGGTGAAACGCGGATTCTGTTTGAACACGCGAGAGCATGTCAATTGTCCTTCAAGATGTTTTCTGTACACCTTCATCTTATGGTGTTGGAGCGCTTTTTACATACCCTACTTATCCCGCTTCATTATGAGCTATATCAGCCAATCAAGAGCTAGAGACCAGGACTCGATTTCTCATCCTGTTCTGTCATGGTTACAAGGTTTTCAGAGTCATTTTTCGGTAGAAGACAATCTCTGCGATTCTCATACTCTTTACGATCTGTATATTAACTCAAGTGGGTATGTTGTCGCTTTCTCAAGGTCATGTGGAAGACAGTTTCGAAGTGAACATGGGTTGCACATCGTATGAGGGTCGGTTTTTTTCTACATGTGCACGATCACTTTGCACTTCTATTATGCACCCAGCATACGGAAATGAACCTTACACCGAAGTTGATTACGTCAGCACCGGGTACGGATGACGCACATCAATCAAAAATTTACGATTAATCTAGTGCTGTTACCCGGTTCTCAACCATGCGCCAGTACACGACCTTGACCCCAATGTGCCGATTATTCTGGTTGATTTACCGAAATCCTCCACTCCTATCTTTCTTACACATCGCCTTAGTTCACACTGAATGATGCTTTTGCTCATTGCACCCCACGAGTTGCTTGCATCGAATGAGGATTGAACACGGTACTGATCCAGTGGGGACCAAGGATTTCTAACTTCCTGTCTGTCTAGTTCGAGGTGCGTAGCCCGCTAATGGTTTTCGGTATCCGTGAGTGTGGAATGTAACTCCATCGAGTATAGGCAACCTCCCACCCGGAAAGAAGTCTAACCAACAGTGCTTACGGCGAATAAAGCGCTGAACACTGTAAAAGTTTACCGATTTTAGGCATATAAAAGCACTATCTTAATCCATCTGATAGACGAGATCACGAAAGCTTCTATTAATGAAGCAGTTCATGAAGAAGGCTTACGCCCAATATGTTCCCAAGCCTCTCGGGTAAGTAATAATAATAATACTAAAATAATATTATGTCAGCTGTACGCCGTAACGGCGCTTCGCTGCCGCGCGACCAGCACCAGTCGCGCGCGGACTGAGTATATCGCGTGGACTCCCACTTCTACGCGGATTCGAACCGGTGACCTTATGGTTGCAAACCAAAAGCGCAGACCATTCGGCCACCGGCCGACTCTCAGGTAAGACTTTGAGACATGCACTTCACCGGGACTACTTTACCTCTTTCATTTGTTACGTTATCATAAACCCAGGTTTAAGTCGACACCATCTATAAATGTATACATGTACATTCTATCTCTTGAACTAACGAGCAACTGCACCAATGAGGATGGGTACATGTCACGGATGTGATCCAACACGCTCTTACGCTTGCGCTACTTGAGGTCCGTTATGGATTGACGTTGCGCATTGGCCTTTGTGCTCGTGGTCACCTTCCATCACCTATTCTCTTATAGAATGAGAAGTGTTTTTCACATCTTGCAACGACCTCATTGTCGTTGCCTTCTAACTGCTCAGCCGTCCCGCACTCACGAATTTCACTCAGTCATACTAGAGCTGTTCTTCTGTGCATATCTTTTATTACGTCATCCATAGTGATCACTCTCCATAGTTTTCCCACTATTCGAATTTCACCTTTGATTCGAAATGCTACTGTCCATCAGTGCAATCCACATTTTTGAAATTTAGACCTGCTCCGATCTCCTTACATTGCTTCCCCTTCTCTCGAGAACTTGTAACGGTTTCCAAGAACCACTTCCTCCCTATTCGTGGTACCAAGTCGAACGCACCACGATTACTCTATCCCCTGGCTACTCTCGTTTTATGTCTGAGGTGGCTTTTAATTAGGGCGTTCCGGCTGATTCGCTTATAATTTCAGGTTTTGTCATGTGGCCGATTATAAAGCTCCGGTCGTCTGAAAGTTGTAAGGCAAGGTTCGGTGCAACTAACTATCATCATTTGGACAGGTATCGCATATCTGGTAATGTGTTGACAATTCCTGAGGAGATAAAACAATCATACAGCGCTTTTCCGGACATGGGAAGACTCAGGAAGGGAGTAGATGACTCCGAAAGTCTTTTCAGAGCATGTGTGTGGCTATACTCGTTGAAGGTACGATGTGGTGGAGTTACTAGAACGTCCCGCTTTAGTTCTATAAAACCGCTTCGGGATGTGCTCGCGGATCGTATGAGATATGCGCCCATGTATCGTGCATCACTGGAGTGTACCGATAAGCAAACATTGTTCGAGTCAGTGGAGACAATCTGTCTTTCAAAGGTTTTGCGAGTAAAGGTTTGTTGTAGTGTGCCCATGTGATCCGCGAAATAACTTTCAGGCGTATGGTCAGGGATTCAGTCACACACTTGCCGTTTGAGTGGGAAAACACAAAACGCCATTTCTTTGGTACACTCATCCTTGGTGATTTTATCTTACGTTCTTTCATATGTTTAATGGTTACTTTACCCGGATAACCATTCGCTCTTGTGGTACACGATACGTGGGTTGTACTACTCAACACCTGTCCCATAGGATTCGCAAGCGCTGCCCGAAGTAGTTTTTGCAGACGCGAAGCTTGCCGTTTCAATAGCTGCATCTTGCCACACTTCGGATACGGCCATACCGACTCTGAAGACTTTTCCAGAGCCATTTGCTCCGTTATTAAGCGATCCTCGCGCGGTTTTTGCAAACATCTCCCTATTACTTATGCTACATATATCCGTAATGTGACACCTATCTGACCGACCGACTTTAGATGTAATGAATTCCACTCATTCCTTTGAAATCCCCCACTCCTCGTTTTGGAGATTTGTCCGTCGCGCTCCTCAACTACCACGGGCACTCATGGCGCAGTGACTTAATTCACCGACTTGTATGTAGAAAGCTATGAACCCGGATTCTGCCGGTTTAGGGGAATGTGCAGCTTCTGTCTGGTCGCATTAATGCGAAACAGGCGTTTGGCACCTCTCCGGATGTACCGCTCAGATTGTACGCTTCACAAACTTACCGCGGCCCGACCTCTCTGTAAACACCACTGGATAACTCGACATAAAGCTCTGCTCCCTCTGGCACGTGCTTTTAATTTCCAAAGACATGGCCTTAGCTCATTCACTATTATTTTTCATGCTTACTTTCTTCACTTTACGATACACACATCTTTTTTCGCTATTGGCTCATTGTATCACCTTTACGGCCTAATCACTTAGGAATTGGCCTTCCGGAATGGGCCGTAGCAACAACACATAATGAGTGCCGCCTCGTAAGAGTCAGAGACACTGCATGTGTAATGATGTGCATGGAAAACTACTTGCCTCTGATTACGGTAAATTTGGTTTCACCTGACAGAGCCAAGGTGTTTGTTGGCAGGCCGATGGCTTGCCCGAGCTGCGCGCCTAGTCATTTGAATCTGCGCGAGACGTTTGGCCCATCTGCATCACCTCTTCTCACCATGTCGACCGTCTAACCCAGCACTGACGCAACTGGCCGAACAGCGACTAAGCATTTAACGATGTTTGTATGGATGAATATTAGGTATGGCCCTTAGCCGATAAACGGAAGGCGCACGCGTAGTATGGGACCAATTTACTAAAAGCATCTGTGTTACAGTGTCTAGAAAAACCGGGGAAGAAAACCATTGAAATAAGGAAAGTAAGGCAAGGTCATTCTCAATCAATCATGTGAGGGCCTGTGTTCGCGGATCGATACCCAATTGATTGCATCCTTAACGCGTCGTTTTCATCTATAGTGCAGCAGCTTGCATCCTTAGTGCAAAAGGTCTACTCCGATAGTCACGAAACTTGTATCCACGACACCCTGAGTAGTCAACCGATATCAGCAAATAGCATTCGGACATTATATTGACCTGGCTGTTTAGCCTAGAGGCAGCTGGGGCATAGAACCATCGATGGATGCATTGCTGCACGGACCCCGACCATCCGCTCGTCTAGGTGCGCGCCAGCATTGAACAATAACGGGGGTAGAAGCAGGGTTTGTTCACGAACTGGCTCCAAACCGTAAAGCCTGGGATGTGAAGGTAAGAAGAACTCATCACAGTTCTGGACGAACGCAGATGTGGCAGTGCACATGTCCGGAACACTAGGTCACGTCTCCTAGCTTGATCGAGCCGGTTGTGAATGCAGTCAAGACGGTCTCGCAAAGAAGGATTGAGCGAGCAAACGAGATGTCCGTTTGGGGCGAGGGACAAGTGGGCACGGATGGCCAGAGGGAACAATGTCACATGTTGCACACCAAGCCAACATGATATCACGGCGCTAAGCGGTTCAAGCGCCCTACGTGCGCCAAATAATGGACGCCGAACACGCTCATTACGCATGCGCTGTTCCCACCAGATCTAACTAAAATGCGAAAGCCTCGATTGTCTATCATCAGATCGGAACCAATATTCTCAAAACTTTATACCGATGCTTGTCACAATTCAGGCCACTTTTGCAATACGGCTATTGCTTTTCGATTTAGATGTTTCCGTCCAAACAGTGGCGTAACGACTACATTTTCCGCTTGGGACGGTGGCCAAATTTTCGCCCCCATTCTGCCAAGTATAAAAACCTAAATCCTCAAAACCGGTTCAGGGTAAAGTGCGCATCAGTTTTCCTTGTAATGGAGAATCGTTTTGGACATTGAAGTAAATGTGGTGAAAATGACCATAATGGGATCGCTGGGAAGAACGTTTGTACAGGTGTAATACTTGAGTAAATGTTTTGTTGGTCATACAGAGTAACATATTAATACTCAACCTTCATCTTGTCTGGAAATTTAACCCTTTATATTTGGTATCGAACAATTAACGATACTAAAAATGCTGCCCGAGGCGGAACGCCATCCCCGCCCTCTGTGCAACGCCTCTGGGTTGAAGCAAATGTGCTTACACCTGTATTGATTGGTCGATCAGAAGGGATCCATGATAATTTGCAAATCGCGATCCTCCCACCCAGCCCACATAATGGTATGGCTATAAACTGCGGCTATTGTGGATATGTGGCAAATCGCTTCTTAGCTTTCTTAATACTATTTTCTGTTTCATAGTTCCTGACTTTCACCTAATTTTTTCAGGAGCAGACCTTGTGTTGCGGCTGACAGCGATGTTCTCAACGCCATGAATTCCAACCGATTCGTCAGCACTGAATCTGCCTATGCATCCGGCAGAGCAATTGGACATCGACGAATGCGATCGCATCCGGAATTCCTACATCACCAAGTTGGTGGCGCTCCCGTTGCACAGCAGCTTACCGGACTTCCGGTGGAGCAACCTACTTCCCTCCTTCTTCCCTCACGAACCACCTTGCGATCCGTCCAAACATTCCCATCTCCGCTGGTAGAAAGAACATTGACGAGAGCAGGTGGTGACCCCATCAAACATGTGTCAACTGTGGCTCACACTTCCACCAAACGTAAACCTTATCAATCGCACCGCAGAATCCTTTCCGCATCAGCTGCATTGGCGGTTAATTCAAGCAAATTCGTGACCCCAACTACTACAGTTGCTTCAACTCGTTCAGTGTGCGACTCGGCAGCCCATCCGGTGAGTTGTAACCAACTTGCCTGTTTTCTTGAATACACGGTTTTTTGTCGTGCCAACGAAGCGTGGCCACCGATATTTGCATAATGTATGTTTTTCTCCACACATAACTGCGTGTGGTTTCAAGGTAACGAGTATTAGCACAAATTAATGAGGTACTATGACAGATGCGGACGAAGAAGACAGGAGTGTACGTAACTACAGCAACAACCAACAGGCGCAGGTAAGCTGTTATAAAATGTAAGATTGGGACTGAACCAGAAGTCTGTCTTTAACTCGTTTTGCTATAAAGGGAGCGGTTTCCGCAAGGATGTGTGGGCAGGCGGTCGGGAAGGTTCGAGCCATCGCACTGGAAATTCTTCTGGTCAACAGATCAAAGGCAACATCGCCTTTAAAGGGAACTGACAGAAACACGTCCTTCTTAGGGACAGTAGTAATCACTTCAGGGCTATCGCGGATCACTGCATACTTTTTGATGAATGGGGTCGGATAACCGTTATCTTGCAGCGTTTTGAGAAGACGGATCTTTTCGGCCTCCAGCGTCTCTTGGCTACAAATTTTCGTAGCACGAAAATACAAGCAGCGGACAAGATTACGTTTGTACCTCAAGGGTACAAAGCTCAGAAAATGTGTATATTGGCCTACCCAAGTGGCCTTCCGGAATACACTTCTTTTTAACGAACCGTCATTTCTTCCGCTTAGCAACACGTCCAAGAAGCCTAGCTTGCCATCTCTTTCGATTTCGATAGTGAACTTCAACAATGGATGAACACCGTTTAATTGGTTTAACAGGTTGGAAACATTGGTGTTTGAATCGCATATTATAAACGTATCATTCATATAACGACAATAGAAATCAAACGAAGCGATGATGAGCCGTCTAGCTTCACGCTCAATCATAGCGAGGAAAATATCAGCAGGGCGTGGTTTTAAAGTGGACCCCATCGCGACATCGTCAATCTATCTGTAGTAGACTCCATTAAATAAAAATTCTCGGTTGAAGGTACACCGTAAAATTAATTCCCTCAGTTTCCTCACCGGAATACCCACATCTATACTCTTCGTACACGTAATCACATACAAAATTGACAGTTTCCATCAATGGAACATTCGTAAAATGTGACTCCACTTCCAGAGAGAGCATCAATTTGTCGTTTACTTTCATGCATTCTACTCGCTTCACAAATTTGCATGTGTCTTTCACTGTGTATGTGCATAACTCCTTGCGTACTGGTTCGAGCAAACCCGCAAGCCATTTCGCAACCGAGTGAGTAGCCGAGGCTGACATGTCGGTTATCGGACGCAGAGGGACTTGTGGTTTATGTACTTTAGGTACACCATAAAGGCGTGGAGGATGGGAGTTAACTGTTCCAGTGGCACGTTATCTATTTGGTTCATACGCTTCAGCTCCTTCAACACCTGAATGATTTTAAGCTCATCCTGCGCGGTTTTATCCTTCTGTACCGTTTCACAAAAGCACTTACTCTTTCTTGCAAAATGTCCTGCATTTTGGAAACCTAGTCGCATCTGTCCCCCAGTACCCATCCGGAACCCTTGTCGGGTCTAGATATAGTTAAATCAGGATTTGATCTTAATTCCCTGATGGGTACTCTGTGTTTCTTAGTCAGGACATAAGAAGATTTGGTTTTGTAACTCATATACTGCTGCGGAAGATGAACCAAAGTGGTTCAGAAAGTATCTTTGACAAGTGACGACGTAGGTTTTTAACTCGTTTAATTGTCGCATCAAGTTTTCAAATTGGGTCTCCAGATGTATTTGTCCATACTGATGCTGAGAGAAATATCATCATTACACATTAGCTGGAGCTGAGAAACCCTTCAGCTATTGTTCCACAATATTAAACTATACAGTGCACGGAAAAGTGTGATAGTAAATATTATATACTGTAAAATACAGGTAGCAAACTGCTTAGCTAACAAACTGCTTCAAGACTGCGATCGTGTTTGGGGAGAGGAACAGCCGTACCGATCGAGATGGTTCGGTCACATCCTACGCATGTCATCCTGGAATTCACCGCATTTCTACTGGATACCAAGAGACAGCCGCTTAACGGTCTGCCTTCCACATCGCTGATGTCATCTTCAGCCGCCTTTACTAGGTACGTACTCCCGGCTGGTTGGAAACGGATTGCGACCGCAATTAGTTGGATACCTGTATGTAAAATCATCTACACTCATATGTTTACTGCTCTAACCATTGCAAAAGACGAGAAATGAAAATTAGCATGTGAAAAAGCTAACAACATATGTTTCATTTTCTTTTATCAACAATTGTGCCTCCTTTGGTTTTCATTGTTTTCCCTGACTTGGTGTCTATAGTTAGCTTGCTAACGATGGTATATATCACTGTTCTTGCCTCTACTAATTCACTTGGAAACCGCCCTCTAATCGCCGACCATTGCTGACCATCATCAGTGATTAATCATTCACCAATTGTATTACTTTTATGGATTGCGTGTGCACGCTCTTCAGGTAGTGCAATTTTACGCTTAAAATGAAATTTGTGCTTCACATTTCCATCGCATATGTTGTTTAAAGCCTGTAATTGATTGCATTCTCTTCCTGGTCGGTGGACTGCAACCCATTGATTCTCACACTTCCACTTTCTACTTTGTGCCAGTTGTCTTCTTTCATTGGAGTCCCCACAAGTCCTTCTGGCCCTGCTCCTTTAGAATTCGGACTCCTCAATGATTACTCAAGACCTAGGCGTAAAGACTCTCTGCCTGCTGAACTACTACGGAGCAAACATCGCCAGGTGAAACCTACTGAGTTATCCCCTGCCCATCCCGGACACAATCGCACCCGTTTCGGCGACCAACCCCGTCGGAAAATCAGTCACGGCGCTACAATTTCTTTTCCAACTCCGGTGGATAACGAAGACCAGTACTCTGCTTCGGACAGCGAGGGCGATGATGATGATGATTACGATGATGCAAATCCTCTTGCATCATCCACTTCGCATGTGAATCCACTGCAACTGCTCAATCGGGCCATGGCTGTCGGTGCAAGCACTACCGTACGGCAGTATCGCCATAGCCTGCTCCCTCAGTCATCATCTTCACGCCTTCGGGATCAAGCGAACTCCAATGTGGATGTGGTGAGCTTTTTTCTTTGACTTTTGAACACATCTCCTTTTTCTCAAATTTTACCAAATGCATCCCTTTATCCCCAATACACAGCTATGCCGTATCCTGTTCGACTTAATACATATGTGTACCAATTGACAACAGCTTACGTATTTAGAGTTTCAAGCAATCAAACTTCACATGCGATACAGATCAGCAGACACGTCTGTACTAGGAAATGTCTCCTGATCGACTACTGCCCGAGCGTAGATGTCTGAGTTTTGTGAATCCAGTTGCATCGATACAAGTCGTCCTAAAAATAAAAGCAAAATACTAAGAAAGAAGACGCAACTACATGCAATATTAGGAGCTGGGAAAAGAGCTGTGCTTTTGAAACGAAACAGTTTATCGCAGCATACGAACTTAATTCATCTAATTCCCGATTACTTCACAACCGATACGGTGTCTGGCTGCCTCATGAAGATGGCACTTATCAACCTGGTAATCTTTATGTTAGTTTGCTCAATACACGTACCTCTGCAGCTGCATCAGCAACGATAGACGCATTGCAGCTTATGTCAATTCACATATTGCAAAGGCCAGAACTACCTTCACGAACATGCGACATCTTTGACGACAGAAAGACGTTTCCCTCGATCTGTACGACCGTGTTTACAAGACCACAGTGATTGCTGTCCTACTCAATGGGAGTGAAACTTGACCTCTTCGGTCTGAGAATCTGAGGCGTCTTCAAATCTTTGATCATCGTTGTCCGCGAAACATTGCTGGTGTCGGGTGGCACCAGCGTGTTTCTTAAACACGATGTGCGTAGGTGAGTACTAGGCAGTGATAACCAGGCGAGTTCCTTAGAATGACAGAAAACATTGAGTAAGTTGTGTTGGCTTGGGCGCGTACTACGTATGCCCAGTCACTGCTTATCGAGGATGGCTTTGTTTTGTTTGCCAGATGTAGGGTGACGCAAGGCTCGAGGTGGACAAAAATTTATTTCGCAGCGGGGAATGAAGTCACTTACGACCAAACTTGGTATCGTCGGTCCGTCTAGTCTTCCAGGCTGGAGTCCACTTGACTCACCCTGTGCTTGGCATAAGAGGATACAGGCTATGGCTCGCAGTTGACATCATTGACGTGTCTGTTGCCGTCTCCTAGTCGGACTGCCTGTTTGCAGTGTATTTGGTGCTGAGTTATCTGCGAGGTAATGGCTGATCATGACGCGGGTCAGTGAAAGCCGCAAGGAAGCAGTCCCGCTGATGCCGCATTATCTTTGCACGAAAGTCAGACTTTTGTGATGATATGTTGTTGACCTAAGGTGTATGCGCCTTGACCCTAAATGTTTGCTTAGGACACTAAGGTTTTCCGGTAAGTCCACCTTCCCTCCCTGTTATTGTTCTTCGTTGGGTAGGTCACCGTGTTTGGTACGGCAACAAAGCATCTTTTTAGATGGTTGATGTGCTGCTGTTGATGATGATGATTATGATTGTAGCTTATGTGTTAACTCGTTGCAACACAGCACTCCGAAATCGGTATCGTGCTTGTGTTTGGCTAGCAGTAGTCCATGCTTCCCAGATTCGAATAGCAGGGTTTGTTTGCTGAATGAGCACGAAACTGATCCTGGGGTGCACTGCTGCGACCAGGTAACCTTTATCGACTTCGATCGCGGTTCCTGTGGTCGAATTGGCACAGCCTCACTTTACACTGTATGTCATGCTGTGGATTGCGCGGCGCTGTCCATTCGCACATCTCTTGTTTATTATTGACTTCTCCAACCAAATTATTCGTTGCTACACACCAAACAGCGAGCCTCAGCGCTGCTCGCTTGATGGTCCAGTTGGCTATGATACATGCCACAGCCTCCGGCTTTCAAAGTTATGTACTCCTGATCACCATCTTCATGTTCATCACACATTATCTCTTCGAACTATGCGACACCGCTGGCCTATCTAAGCGTTATGAACTCTACTTTTGGCTAATGTAGCATCTCAAGGTCTCCGTTAATGACTGGTTCGCTGAATAACACCTGGGTCTTGCTATCGAACACAGCAATCAATTTACTTGTTTGGCTGCTAAGCACTGAAAAAACTAACCTGCCAACCCTTTTTATTGGTGCATTACAATTTGAAGATCACAATGACTTACTCCGGTGCTTCACTTGGACCCATGCTTCTGATGACCTGGGCTCACCTCGGGCTATTAGCAACAGCTCTTTGCCGTCCATCACCTCCAACTCTGTTTCATTCGGATGTTACCTGTCAGATGCCGTTCCATTCTTGCTATCACTCGCTATATCCGCTCTTAATGTGAAGCCATCATTCGCGCTTCTATCATAATAATCGTGTAGCATGACTGGCGCCTCCAATCTAGACAAATTAGTGACTTACAAAGCCTTATTCCCTTCATACTGAAGACAAATCCTATTGGTTTCTGGACACTGACGTTGGGTTTTAGAAAAGTAATCTAAGTTGGTCACAACGCCTTAACGTGGAGTGTAAGCGCCACGCGGGCTCGGATGATCGGGGTCTCGGTAGGTACTCCAAACCTTTCGACGATAGTACGCAGAGATATATCATCCTCGGCAGATGACATTTTTGTCGATCAGATTACAGCACGACGTTTCATTTAGCGCTTGTCTAGTACGTGATTTGACCTTTCATACTGAAACGGTGTGGTCGACAACGACTGAAGTCATGGGACAAGTGTCGTCTCCGAAAATGTACACTGGACGTTTTCCCGAGTTCGATAAATTACCCACGCATGTTCGCCTTGCCCACGACAAAGAGATAGCAGTTGCTAATGTAATTCGATTTTGACTAACTCATATGAGCGCAATAAATTATTACTCCTTATTGGCTGTATTTGAGTCCACAGTTAGCTCTCCTCCTAGACTGATGACATTTCATCTCGTGGCAAATACCATCTATTTCTCTTTTTTGTTGCTGATGATTTGAGACTTACTTGCGACCATCTTGCTCTATACGGCGCCCTCCTCATTACCGCGGCAGTGACATTCTGAATTCCCACTTAAATCCAATTGCAATCTGGTTCATATACACTGACGTTTCACCGACAAGCGTTCTAAAAACGATCGGATACGCTGACCAAGCAAGGCTTGAACCATACGAGTGTTGATTCAATCCAGCTTTCAGTCTCACCGGTCGCCTTACACTGATTGGCAGTCGAGTCTATTTGACGTGTTCTTCCACCTTAACAGTACGTGACCGATAATTGTACCGTAGTACCTTTCCATCTCTGTGCTCTCTACTCTGCATCAGATGCCGATCACTAGTGACGTCAATTTCAGTGTGGCTTCCTCTGCCGCATGTTTTGTCTGTTTTTCACTTGTATACTGTGCTCCACACGAACACATGTGACAACTGCTAACACCGCATGAAACAAAATGCGTTGGACATTGTGTTTCTGCTAATCATCTCAACGTTTTTTCATCATATCTTACTGTATCTAAGGCCTCGTGTCCTTTCTTTATCTTATCCACCCATAAATCTCATTTACTTTCGAGTCTAACAATTTGTTTACACGCGCTTATCATTCACATTATTCACCTCTTTTTTCCTTCGTTCAGTCTACTTTGGACCCTCGTCCTGCCAAACAGTCCGGGCGCCGAGTGTCTGTTACCTCACATTCCGACACCATTGGCCTATCCCCACCTGTACTGGACCACGTCTCCTCAGTGCAAGGTTTGGATAGGACAACTTTCTCCGACCCGTCCACAAATGCAACTAACTTGCCCGTAGCATCCGATCGATCTACAAACCAGAGCAATCGTGGATTCTTGCGGCGTAAACTAAGGCGTACGAAACTGTGCTCAGTCGCCTCAGTGGAAGTGGAGGATGAGCCAATTCTCAATGATGGATTCGATATGATTAGTTCTTCAGAAGAAACGCATGAAAGACAGGCACTGGTACCCGGGTATGGGGCTTCAACCGTCAGAAGGCGTTCCTCCCAACAACCTCGGGACGATCGGCATCACCAGTCTTATACCGGTCAGTCATTTGTGATAAAATCAACTCGGCAATCGACTATCTGTCAGCATCCTGAGAGGGAGACGCATCAATCTCTAGAGGCTTTGGAGTCTCATCAACAGGAGTCGGAGTCACCCAGGCCGTCAAGGTCACTGGTCGCTAGCGAGGATTCCGATGGTGATTTTCCCCATCGGCGCGATGGCGGCCTAGCTAGAGACGAAATTGGAGCTGCAGCCCAAAATATTCAAAGTACGTGTTTATGGTATGAACCACGCGAATCTTATCTCACACAACAGTTGCTTGTCATTCGTTTAAACTTTTTCTACTTCTTTTTATTTCTTTCTCCTTAATTGGTCGGGTTCTAGAGGCAATGACATCTCTCTTTAGTGGCATCAGTGGACGCAGCAATTCGAACATGAGCGAGTCATGTGCTCGGCCCTATGCCACACTTTCACTGGTGATGTTAACTAGCGTCATCCCTTTCTTGCTTCGATTTCCGCTTCTACAACTGACTTCCACAAGGCATCTACCGCTGCTGTGGGCCATAGGCCACTTACGCTACAACACTCACACCTCAACTCAGACGTCACACATATTAGTGATGGTAGCAGTAATATTAGTAGTGGGTGCATTTTCCTGTGAAAAATTGTGCCTATTATTGGCACGGATTGTGTTGCAAAAGTTCGACTTTGCCCTTGCAACTATACTTCGTGTGTTGCGGTTTCTTTTTGTTCGTTCATACTCTAGGCGCAGAACTTGTTTCACTCGAATACGGCTGGGCTAAAGACTAAATTCATACGAGTGCTTGAGTAGATTCGTCGCACTCAGACTCACCCAGAGAGCCGCTCACATCCAGGAAATTGTTAGACGGCCAGTTCATCCTATTGGGACTCATCATTATCGCGCATTCGCCGGACCATGCCGGGTTCGACCCCATTACTTCACTCTTACTAGTCAGCAACTCATGCCACTGAGCCATAGGTGACGGCGGTGGACCGCTGTAACTTACATCTAACTGCTGTGCAGCCCGACTCACCCTCAACTGTTTGCATGTTTTTATGTGCATAGGACAGGGCTGACCCCCAGAGCTAGGACTACCTTTGAAATCCGTTGTCAATCGAGGTGGCATGTAAGACGCTAAGGCGATTGCTGCTTTTTAACGTTGTTACTATTACTATCATTATTATGATTATTAGAGTGGCATGTGTCACTGACTCGTAAGAGTAAAGTCGTGGGTTCGGATCCGTCGGATACGCGCTACTGACAAGTTCCAGTAAGCTAAAACGACCGTCTAGCGCTTTCTTGGATGTACAGTGGTTGTCTGGCTGTGTCTAGCTGCGACGAATTTCCTCCTTAATACGATAAATTAAGTGCAGTTGGTTCGTGTGAATACCTGTTTTCATTTTTATCAGCTACTCCCCCGTTCTTTTGAAACAATTCATCAGGCGATTGTTCTCATGTAAACATGGTCATAATTGTACTCAGTTCAAAGTGACTTTCGTGCATGAGAAGAACTGTCACCTCACACAGCCTGATTGGGAGTACTCAGTGTATTCGTCAGGGCGGCATTACTGTTTAAGAAGAAATCGAGCCGCATATCTGTACTAAGCTTGGCTATACCTAGTGTGTGTGACCTTTGTTACGAAGTTCGGGTTGTGCTGTGGGTTCATTAGAATAAGTCTGTCATTTGACCAGCGTCAACTTGCACTTCTGTTTGTGTGATCAAGTTATTTTGATATCAACAGAGTGCGGACAGGGTCCGCTTGCTTTGCTATGTACCTCTTGGCTTGCGTGTGAGACGCACCAAACGCTATGAAACATGCGTCACTTACAGTTCAGCTGAAAACAACACAACTAGTTATCCACCTACCTAATAATAGCCGTATACAACGTATCAAATGTGTCTCACTGCTTGAAAGCTATGCACAGGACGTGATGTGCTTCATTTTGCCACCTGATTCCTCTCTCGGTGTTCATTTGAAGCGATTATTGTCTGACTGCATTGTGCCGTATCGGCTGGGCCTCGTACCGCATTTAATCATTTCGAGAAGACGAAATTCGTTTAGAGGTATTGACTGTTACACACTAAGGGTTGTTAATTGTGCAATGGTCTAACTCCTTTTTCGTGTTCCCACTGTGACTATATGGTGTTTTGCTTTAAACAGCAAGCACATTTGGTGATAATCTGCATGCGCGTGCAGTGAACTCCATTGTCTTCTTTATTCGTCCCTCTAACACCCCGTAACCCTGTTCGATTTCCTTCAGGAGAGGAAGGCTGTTGGAGCAAGTTCAAAGCCGGTTGCATGATTGCCTACATGTTCCTGATCAGCTCTGTGGACAGCTTGATCCGCTTTCTGAACGGCTTGACCAGACAGTATCGCCGCATCCGTCGAACGATTGAGTTAGAGAAACGTTTGGTGAAGCGCAATGTGATCAACAACGCTGAACAATCTGAACAATCACCGTGAGTGTGGTCCCTTCGTGCCCCCAACTTCATCACAGTAAACAATAAACTCCTGCGTTGTCTGTTTCTGTCTCACTCAATCCATCGGTTGGCCGATTCCTCACTAGGTTCGCTTAAAAACCTACATATGGGCCAAAACCGGGTCCACATGCTCAATAGATCTTGTTTATCTATCCACCAAATTCACCCACAGAGGCGGTGCATTGCTAGCAGGTAGGCGGGTGAGCCGTACTCAAACACCGCTTATTATAGAAGAGAACAGACCAGTTGCAATCTCTTCAGACCAAATGCAGAAGCTACATCTAAGTAGCAAAAGCAGGCATAGTCCGTTTGCGTACAGTATGTTCATGTTGTCGACAGACCAGATCACAGCGTGAGAGTACTCTTAGATGCTGTACGGAAGTGGTGGAATGCGGCGAGTGGCCGGCCAGGGTGTAAGCACGCCCATTACCACCCCTCTCCAGGCTCATAAACGAGGATTTGCCAGGTTGACCGGTACGTCAAATTCTGCAAACCACCGGGATAGGCGGTCGAGGTCCTGCTGAAGGACTGCAGTCTTCGGGAGAGTCACTAATCCTCCAAAATCTTCAGGTCGTCATCAAATAATGCGCAGGGCGACCGAAAAAGCTGAGGCACTTCGTTGATGTTGATCAGAAACAAAATCGGCCTTGGAGTACGCCGCTAGTGCACGGCTGCCATTCCGTTAGGTGGTTATCCATCTGGATCCGTCATATTCTGATAAGGAAGTCACTTATCCACTGGTGCAGTGCGCCACCACACATCCTCAGCTTGTGGAGCAAGACCTCATGGCTCACTTTATCGAAAGCTTTACTGAAATAAATGTAGATGTAACATCCATTGATTTCCCCGGTTCAGCGCTTGCAACCATTCCTGCCGCGTCAACAGCAGATTGGTAATGCACGAGTGGCCCTAAAACACTGCACAACCACGACGCGTTTCGATGTCATTTCATCTCATCAGGTGGAGATAGCAGACCTCGAACCTGCGACCATTGGAATAGTAGCTGAAACCCCTACCCATTAGTGTACCGGGTCGCGTTTCTTTTCATTTCCTTTTTCACTCAAAGGCTCCATCTGGCCAAGCGAATCAGTACGTACGCGGTGCTGCACCTACAACATGCCACTATGATAGGCAAAACAACTGGATGAAACTCAGTTGGGAATCACAACTTGCGCTCAGTGTTATCCGAGGCAATACAGTAAGAATGGAAAGGCTGGTTCGCTATATGGGGCATTCACAAGTAAATCTCTTACTTGAATTGCTCCCCTGAGCCTCTCCAGATTCGCTTGGTTAGTAACTTCCTGCCATCCATTTTACACACAACTTTGGTGATTTTCACCCACAGACAATTAATATTTTGCAGTGTTGATCCCAACCTCCTCCCAATAGTATTGGCATTGTTCTAGTCGATTTATGTTCTGTGTCCAATTTCCGGTACTTTCAATTGGGCGGAACGAAACCAAGATCTATGGGGTCAGAATTTTTTTATACACGGACACCAAACTGAATGCACCTATCATCTAACGAACCTTATTCCTACAAATAAAGATCCTTAGGTTCTGTTATTTTGATATTCTTCCAGACGGTTTTTGCTCACACATTCTTACTTTTGTCGCTTGTTCCATCCTTCCCGCACCTGATAGCCGATAATCTAGCATTTACGTGCTTTCGCGTGAACTACCTCAAGTGTGCACTTCATCGAAGTTGATTGTCGAAATCGTTTGTTATTATCTATGTGGGACAGCCGCCGGTCCGTCCACTTTCCGTGAGATGTCGTTTTCGCTCTCGATTTTCACCACGCTAACAAGATCAGCTCACGTTCACTGGTTGTGTCTGCCATGCCTTTCAGCGATTCTTGAAGTGCTTTTCCTATCTTCGCATTATTCGCTAGCTTTGTATCGTTGTGGCATTTTTGGTTCTTAGTTTGCACGCTGCCTTCGAGGCACGTCGTCATGAGCGTTCGAAATCGGTCAAATTCGATACTCGTTGTTTCGGATTCCGCTCTCGTCGAACAGCCACACATGCGAATCAACATACGCTAGTGTTCGATTCAGATGACTCGTTGAGCGACAACTTGGATTATTTAGCTGCTGAAGCCCATTCAGAAGGTGAGCCAGTCGCGCTTCATTAGGCTAGATCGCCATCTTCGACAGCTCTCGTACAGCGTTTGAAAGACAAATGGAACAGAGTTTGTCTTTGGTTCAGAAGGACCGCATCTGCTCGGTCACCTCCGTTTTCCACAGGAATCGATCCAATTTCTCTGTAGGTCTGCAGCGTTGACCTTCTCGTTAGCAGTTCTTGTTTTGTTTCGTTCTGTATTTAGCTATCCCCATTCGAATTAAAATTGTTGCTAACATGTCACCTCACATCTTTCTCAGTTTGGACATAGAAGTTGCTGTGTTGAAAGTTGTTTGCAAATCACCGGAACGCCATCACTCACAATGCTTGAATCCGCTGGATTGTCCGATGCCATTGTCCAGTCATTTCCCCGAGGCGCAGGTTTCGCTGCTAACCAAAGGTCACTCTACTGAGCAACTGCATGAGCTGGACCGTTGCTATCATCAGCGGGAGAAAGCGTTTCGTCGCTCCCGATCTCGACCGTTCCTTTTGATAACAGCCCTGGGCAACTTGGCTATCGTATATTCGGAGTGGTTTTGCTATCTACTGCTGATACTGAACCACATGCGAAGCTCTGCCATTCTATCACTCCCCTATCCGTTAACTGTGTTCCTATGGGGTATGTTGTCCGTTCCCCGGCCAACGAAGACCTTCTGGATCTTCTTAATAACATATACTGAGGTGCGTTCAATAATCTGCTATTCGGCATTACAACTGAAATAACGCGCTTACTTTGTCAACGGTTGTTGCGCTCAGTGCTTCCTTTCTGCTCTCTAATGACCTGTCTGTATCGTTGTACTGCCGTGTTCCTGCTTCGCCTCCTCCTGATGCTGCTGCTGAGACTCTACTTAAGAGCAAGTAGCAAAGTTTCTGTACAACTTTATCGAATTATTAAAAATCAAACACATTTAATTGCGAATCGTCAGCGGTAGTGTTTGGTCAGTTAATTGTTTATCCTTGTTTGGTTAGGATTTCGTATTGGTGTCATTATTTCCGGGTATACGATGTCTTCTTTTGGCATTGTATGTGCACCGTTTCACAAAATCGCAGGTTTCCGAAATAATCGTCGATAAGTGTTTGAAAACACTCCACAGAATCGATCTCTATTAATCCTTCTGATAGTGTATTCCACAAGTTTACTATTCTTCGTTCTATACAAAGCTTATGTGACTCTGAGTTTCTAACGGTATCCTCGGGTGTTTCAGGGTTATCACAGATGAAATATTGGCTGCAGTATGGGGAAGTGATTCAAGTGTAGTACTGGCTGGATCATGATAATGTCAATTCTTACTCGGCGGCAGGATAGTATATATAATCCGAGCCTTTCATAACGTTTTTCATACGGAAGCTTTCGTAGACTGGGTATCATTCTAGTTGCGATCTGTTGTATTTTCTCTAACTTTTCAGTTTCCCACTGGGTTATCGGATGATAAGCTGGGGTGTCGTATTCAAGGATTGGTCTAATGAGCGTGATGAATAGACGAGGGAAGGTTTCTTCGGGACATGTGGAGAAACTGCGTCGTAATGCCCAGAGCATACGAAGTCCCGCACGGTGCAGTTTTTCTGTATTTCTTAGTGATCTCATATCATGTCGCGAGAGCACTATTGTCTCTGAAAGATGTGGTAGGGTGGATCAACTGGCCGTCCAAGGTGTATTATCGAGTTGCTGAGCGTCTGGTCATACTGATGAACTCCGACTTGCATGCGTCAAGAGGGAGTTGCATTTCAATGAACCACCTTGACAGTCGATCTAAGTCATGCTGGGGGCGAGCGCAGTCGTCCTGGTTCTCAGTGGTCCTCCAGCTTTTCAAATCATTTGCAAACAGGGCACTTGGTGACTGGAGCTTCTGCGGAAGATCGTTGTTATGAATAAGAAATAACACTAGCCCAAATACAGTTCCTTGAGGCACGCCACTGGTCGATGGGAACCAGTCTGTCAGGTAGTCATTGACCTGTACTCTAAACTTTCGTCCCACAATAAACTCCTGTAACCACTGAAGTAGCCTGCCACCGATTCCGACGGTCTTTAGTTTACGAAGGAGTACCTCGTGGTTCACTCTGTCAAACGCCTTACTAAAGTCGATGTACACCACGTCAACATCCTTCCGTTCGTTGAGAGCTCGTACCTACTGGTGGTTTGCGTACATCAAGTTGATGATGCGGGATCGCCCTTTTGTAAAGCCATGTTACGCTGGCGTCAGTATGTCCATCGGTTCGAAGAACGACAGCAGACACTTTTTCACAACCTTCTCGAGAACTTTGGATAATACCGAAGTCAAACAGATCGGTCTACAGTTCTCTACTTTACTCGGATCACCACCCTTAGGAAGCGGTCTCACTATCAAGCATTTCCACTCGTTGGGGACAGATCGTTCAGAGAGTGAATATGTTTGTCACGGCTAGTGAGATGATAATCGATAGGGACTTGAGTATTAGTGGGTGAAGTCCGTCTGGTCCAGGGGGCTTTGCACCATCGAGGTTGACGAGTAGCTGATACACTTCGACTGCATCACATTATAGGTTTTCGGGCAAGACTAGCGCAATCTGTGCCGGTACTGGAACAGCCGCCGGTTTACTGAAAAATCGGTGAGGAATTGCTTAGCCAAGGTGTCCGCGCTTGAAGTGAGCGTCTGTCCGCCCAAGTTCTCTAAGACCAGTAGGTCGCCCCCAGGTTTCAGTTGACGTTTCAAGTAGTCAAATATTATTTTTGGTGCAGTTGTGGCCGAGCATGCTAGCTCCTCTTCGAACTGCCTGCGTTTCTTTATCTTTGCGGCGTTACATAAGTTACGCTCTATCTTCTACACCGTGTAATCTTCATCATAACCCGTGCTGATGTACCTATCCCAAAGTTTGCGACGCCATCGCGCTAACTGTCTGTATTCCGTATCGAACTAATGCGGTTGGACAGGTCCGACTTTTGAATACTTCAGGGGAACGAACCGAGTACACAGCGAGTTAAGCTTCTCCTTCATTAATGACCAACAGACCTCAAGCGACGCATCCTGTGGTAGTGTCCAATCAGTCTGACTTGCGGCTTGGACGAGCCCATTGAAATCCGTCTTTCAATAGTTATTGTAATACGGTGGTTGTGATACGGTAACGGCAGTCCTATGCTTGCCACAGTGGACCAGTGGTCACTGTAGGTCAGAGGTTCGAGGACTCTGACCTCTTTTAGCTTCTGCTCGCAGCTCGTAAACATTACGTCCAGACAAGATGCCGAGTGCGGAGTTACGCGCGTCGGTTGGATGACATGTTGCGTTGCCCCGATTTCAATAATCATTTTGGCGAATTGAGCCCCAACGTCGCCATGACCGGGAAGAAGCCGAATGTCTGGCCAGCATATCTTAGGTAAATTTAGCTCCCTATCAGTAAGAACTGGGGGCGGCTCATGTGCTTCTGTATTTGTGGTAACCAATCGCAACAACGGTTTAATTGGCTACGATAGATAACACCCACTATTATTTCTGCCCGTTTGAGGCGGATTGTGCACTACAATTGTTCACATAAATTATCCTCGCTCCGATAGGTGTTGGTAAGTTTACCAGATAGTGACGATTTTATGTACAACAGAACGCCACACTGAGCCTTTGCTTTTCGGTCGCATCAGAAACGAGAGTATCCTGGCAACATGACTTCTTGGGGTATGACGTCGGAGTTCAGCCAAGTCACTGCAAGTCCTAAAACGTCCGGCCGCTCCGTGACAGCGAAGCGGCACAGTTCGTCACGTTTGTTCATTAGGCTGCACACGTTGGCGAATTCCACACGGTGGTCCTATGTGGTACCGCAGGACGTGTCTGGGGATTGAGCCACCGGTTGATACGAGTTCGTATACCCTTCTTGACCACCCGAAAATTTACAATTTGTAAGTCAGTCTCCTGTACGACGTTTTTAGCTCAATGACCACAGTCTTCAAACGATCCCTATCTTGGGCTTCCAAGTCTCGGCGGATGTGAACTTTTATGCCTTGACAGACGAGACAGTATGAGCTGCGGCATATTTGAATTTGCAAAAGTAATTCTCAGAGGTCGATATGACTGGTTAGTTTTCTGTCCAAGTCGGATTACTTCTTTAATCGTCACATTGTCTTCACCCACCTCCAAGAGTCTATCGATGAGTCTCTGGAGGAACTCAATATCGTGATCATAATGTATCTGACGGTTTTCATCTTTTGACTGATACGTTGGGATACCACGAGATTATGGCGCCTCAGGGAAATCGGCGATGAACCTATGGGAACAGGACTAGAGGCGTTTATGGCTTTGGGTTATTTATCAGCAAGGGACGCCTGATGATAATGGTGAGGAGCATGATGATGACGATGAAGACTGATAGGTGTGAGACCTCTCATATGCAGCATTCGTGTTCCAACTTTCTTTCCTTTTTTGTTGTTGGTCGGATTCTCGCGTATTTTAATTTCGAAAATTTGATCTGGTTCCTAACTCGAACTTCGTGACCCCCATCAGCACGTGTCCTCCCATTTTTGAGTTGCTCACTCTTGCACTCTGGTTTTGCACTTTTTTTACCGGCGTTGTTGCCAATTCTTCTTGCCGCATCTGATTCTTTCTGTTCTGTAGATCGTCATTGTGATCAAATACATCTTCCAGTTCAAGTTCATCTACTTCAACGATCCAACAGAGAAGCTCTCGGAATCGGCCGATGTACTCTGGTTGCCGCGCTTACTGGGAGTGGACAAACACGATCATTATGCACTGCTTGATCTCGTTCAGCTGATTACTCTCTTCCTACATCGGGGTTTTCTACGAAATGATGGCTTGTGGCGTGATCACACAGAATTCGCGCACGATTTGGAACTTGTTACCGCTGGAAATAAGGTACCAATATTCCACAATCGCATTGCCAATTGCGAAAAATTGTGGCTGCGAACTTTAGTTTGATATGAGCATTCATGATGTGGAACAACGAGCTGTCACATGTATTCGAAACAAGGTCGTTGTCCGCATTCCCAAAAAAAGTTCTTGGACAATCACTTTACCGACACGAAGTATCGAGAATGTTCTCCAACCTAATAGCTCATTGTACCCGAGGGCTTTTAGATGCAGCTACACAGGGACATCTCTTCTGGTCGCTTCCATCCCGTAGTCAGTATTCATTACTGTGCGCACCTATTCTTCTCTATCTCAGTTTGGTATCCAATTGATTTTGTTTTCCAACCGTGAGATGTTTACATGTGACCACGCTCTTTTGTTCCTTCATATATTCCATTGCATATACTAGGGCGTTGTGTTTGAGATATTAATTACTTGTTTATATTTGTTCTGGTATGATGTTCAGGAGGTCATCTGGCTACTCGTTGTGAGACTGGTGTCGGTCGACTTATTGCGATCTCAGAGCTTAGACTGGAAGAAGTTGCTATGTCACTACTGTTTGTAGCATCCACTAACACAACGCACGTCGTCTCTGGATCGGAAATCTTACGCTTGTCTCTGTCTACCACGAGTGGTTCTTACTGCCCATACGTCAACTTCGCGCAGTTTTTACTTTGTTTCCATGTGCAATCTAGAATTGCTTCTGTTTTCGCACATCGTATCGCTCAACGGTGGCTTATCTTTCCTGGCCTTCACTTACCTCGTTTACTCAAGACACTAATTCTTCTACGTCACACTCATTGATGTTCATTTTGCACGATCTTCAAATTTCTAGACTATTCATAACTTTCCCATCACCAAGACCGTCCCAAACTTGGTTTTTTTTGGTACACAAGCTTGTGTGCATGTTCAACCTTTGAGAATGCGTCTTCAAGTTCGCATCGAATTTCATTGCAACTTGATACTTCCAAGTCGTATTTCACACTGTTGCACTTAGTGTCGAGCCACTTTCTAATCGAATCTATTCCCTCACTGTGCAACGTACCCGACTGTAATCATTATATTGTATTTTGCTTCCAATCCAGCTCCAGAGCAAACGCAACCGAGGTGATCGGGACCATGCTCGTAGGTGAGTGTTTACCGCTGCATTAGAAAAGCCCGGCTTTTGCTTCTTCGTGGTTTATCTCAATGCACTTCTTTCATGTGCCGTCGTTTGACGCCTGTTATCGCGTCAACTCTTTCGTCTTCTCACCGATTCCACAGCACCAATGGAACCTTTATAGCTCGGGTTCATGCGTCTGTCGCACCAGTGGAATCACAACTAACTCCCTCACATTGCAATATTGACCTCGCAACCAAATGTAGTAACTCAAGTTCACCAAATGAATTTGATGAATAACGATGAATCAGGAAGTCTTACAGCCACTAAAACCCGATATACGCATAGTGACCAGTATTCATAAGGAACGCCTATTGCTACGAATTGACTTCACTTCCTTTTGGGGATTCGACGTTTGTGACTCCACTGGCAAGCTCGTCACGCATCTAAACTACTGGCATTTGTTTTTGAAATCAGATAGCATTTTCTGAAGAATCACGCAACCTGATTCAGTTTATCGAATTGTCTTTGAACAGTTACTCGCGGTGGCTCCATATCCTTTGAACCTTTACATTAACCGTACCCCGTCATGTTTCTCATTTTCTCAGTGGGGAATCTACTATCATGAAGGACGGATTGTGATAACCCTTTAGTCACGTTGCCCGAAACGTCTGGCGTTTCACTCTTGCTACATTGTTGCTTCACTGAAGATTGTTCCTTGCACTGTGGGCTTTTTGGTGTCATTGAGATTTTTCTCAGCTCCTTCTAAACGGGAGAATTTAGTACTCCATTCCTTGGCCAATGGACCATTAGTCTGTCTAGATTTAGGCAGTGATGGTGATTTTGTTAAGATGCTCACAGTCAGTCGGCTTTTACTAGTGTCTCTGGTTTTGGTAAGCACTCATTGTTTCTCCTCACTGATGGATTCTATTCATCCTCTTAACTATTTATTCTGTCGATTTTCCACATCGTTTCCCGAATGGAGTTTTACATTTACATAGAAATTTACTCCGCATTTACGCACTACTGCAGCTATTCTATTCTCTTACAATATACTCGTGTAGTTGCCAACACTCATTTGTCGCCCTCAGAATGGCTGACTTCGCTTCCTCTATACGACATACTGAACTTACAACTACATTCGCATCTTACACTTATGCTGAATTCTTTCCGGGTATAAACATCTCCTTGCAACCGTTATTACAGCCTCGGCAACGAATCTAGCGATCTACCGCCCGCGAACACTCAATTAAGCGCTCATAACCAGTGTGCCACATCCACGGACCCTTTCCCATTCTCACTGAAACGACACAACACGGCCAAATCCTGGAATCCGTTTGTCAAGCTTCGCCGGTTTTACGCCAAAATGACTGATCCTCGGTACAACCAGAAAGTCGATGTCTATATCTACATGTTCCTCTGCGAGTTCATTTCTTTCTGGATCATGATCTTCGGTTACGTCTCTTTCGGTCCTAGCGTGAGTATTTCTCTGTTTCCCCAGACATTTTTCACCCTTGATCTGTGGTCTGATGTGACTTCTCATCCTGCTGTTTATTCTTTACTATTTTGCTTCCTCCACGATCCGTATGATCCTTTTACAGTGTTTCCTCGCCTGTCTACTTAGTTTCATTAGTACTTGTCTTCTGATGTGGCTTGAGTGAATAGCAGGCCACCAGTATACGATTCTCGCCCTGTTCACCTAATCGATCACGTGACCAGTGACCTGTGGCGTCACATAAGCTTATTCAGTTTTGTACCTCGCGTGTTTTACAGTCGCTTGTCATCAGCAGCAACAGCAGTACATCAGCCATTTGAACTGATGCACCGGGCATACGTAGTACGCGCCCAAGCTAACACAACTTATTCAATGCTATCTGTTATTCTAAGGAACTCGCCTGGTTATCACTGCCTAGTACTCGTCTATGCACGTCGTGTTTAACAAACAAGCTGGTGCCATCTGACACCAGCAATGTTTCGCAGACAACGATGATCAAAGACTTGAAGACGCCTCAGATTCTTAGACCGAAGAGGCCAAGTTTCACTGCCATAGAGTAGGACGGCCTTCACAGGCCGAAGGAAACGTCTTTCTGTCGCCAATGATGTCACAGATGTAACAAGAGGGTTCTGCCTTTTAAATTGCGTGAACTTTCAGTTTCTATGCGCCCATCGTTGCTAAACAAGCGCTTATTAGGTTTGACTGTACCCGCCTAGCCTGTTTGTCCGTTAGGTTGGGTCTACACGCGGCTCTATTGTGAAGGGTACAATATTGCTCTATTGCATATCGCGTCCGCAGTACGTCACCGTTTATTTGAAATACGGACGCCATGCATCAGGGAATACTATCCGTGGATGATCAGCTATACTCATTACACCCACAAATGCAAACTGAACTGGCTGCGTCGGCTTTAGCACATTGCACTTATTTGTACCTGGCTTTTGTTTTTGAGACTTTATCTAGGTTTCTGATAGAATGTGACTAAACTTGGGCATTCATTGAGGTTACTGCGGAAGAGGAGAGGACATGCTGGTACGCTGCGCGTTGTTGTTCCGTCTCAGATTTCTGTCCAAGTTCCGCGAACTTTGCGATTGCTTCCATAAACTACGCGTTTTAGCTTACAGTTCATGTCAGCGGTATGTTTACCGGCTGTTCCCTCAATCAAGTTGTTTTTCAGCGAATGCACGGAACTTCGTTAACCTTGGGTTTGCGCTGTTTATGATAGAGGAAACCATAATGATCCAATTGTATATATATATATATATATATATATATATATATATATATATATATTTGCAAAAGTCTGTTAACAGACATAATGCCATCAGAAACCATGGGATTCAAACGAAGGTACAGAAACAGTAAAATAAAACACAACACAACAATGTCCATGGTTTCCTCAGAGGGCGAGATACTACCCGGTTGCCCAAGCCGAAGTAGGGTGTTGACTTAGGGGACACCACCCCGAGCCTTTGGCTTAATAGCCTGCCCGCAAGGCAGCGGAGCGAATTCAGGGAATCGCGCCCATTGGGAGCCGGTGACTGATTGCTCAGTTCATACGCCTTTCGTTTGTTCCTTTGTCAAACAGGGGCCCAATGCTCCCTAGAAGTACAGCATAAGATTGCTGGAATACAATGCTTCGCCAGGATGAAGCAAGGGGCAGTGACTTTATTTAGTGGCGAGTCACGTCCGCCACGTCACAGTGTTGTTAAACGGACATATGTGGCTTTTTATAGGGAGAACGCTTGCCAGGCGAAAACCCACCACGTCCTGGAACACTGCCGCCGAACCATTTGCTGGAACGGGAAAATCCCGAACCACCCAGCTGGCACCACGAGGAGGTTGTTCGGCAAGCCAGCCATCTTGCCGGGCGAAGCTTTTGTGTCAAAAGCGAAACGTTGCTCAACAAATACACCAACCGATTGTTTCCAAACCTCTGGATTCATGACTTCCCAATCAATTTCAGGTATCTTCCACAACTTAAAAAAGCCACAAGGATATTATCATGCCATTGACGTGGGCAAAGACTGTACGCAGTGGTCAGCCATTTTTAGACTCACCGTCGCCCTTGATTCTTACTTAGCGCGTCTCGGTTCTTCTTTGTAAGTTGCTTCACTCCGTTCCCATTTGCTTATCCATAGATACAACGAAAATGCTGTTGATGCGACTCTGGCTTAAATTGGAATTCATCACCTCTAGACTCCCTCATACGGCCAACGCAAGTCCGGAAAACTGTGAGACTTCCATCTGACCCCTGTGGAATGACAACGCACAACCCGACTTTTCAGATTCCGTAGTTAATGCCACTGGGTTGCGCGGGACGTCAACGATGAATATGACTAACTATCTAGGTGTACCAACGCGGCTCACTCGACACCTACTTTTGCGTTACCACAGTACGGAGGACGAGGTAGTCCCCCGGCAACAGTGTCCCAAACTGCATTCGCCAATTGACTAATGGCATTACTAACAGTCTGGTTTGCGTTTTCGTTTAGATTTGTGATGGCGCTCTGGCTGGGTTAACATGCGACGAATTTCAGCTTTACGTTTACCCCCTGGTCATCGATGAGGAGGATGAAGAAGAGACACCGGAAGTCAAGTCTGTTTGCCCTCCAAAGTCTTGGTAACACGGTGATCACGCTCTTTACCTTCAATTACATGCATCAAACTGGACCCCGAACTTATTATTGCTATTTTATTAGTCCGACGTTTTTTCGCTTTTCTTCATTTGGCACTTCACTGTCTTGGCTCAAGTCACGCCCGCATTGAACTATACACTGGCCCAAATTTCCTATCATCACCAATTCGGTGTGTTGCGCTGGTGACGATCGCGCTTTGGAGGGCGTCCAACCACAGTTGGATCATCTGTAGTGCACATGTTGGCCACTATGACCTGCACACAAAACGGCTTTGAGTTGCACCGCCAATTTGAGTGGACACAATTTCATTTGACTCTTAGGCAGTTACTTGCCTTCCCAAGACATGAGTACTCGTTTGGGGTTTTTTGCATTACGGTGGAAATATCCCACAACAAATCAATTAATGGTGCTGACAGGAGTCAGTGATTAGGTTATGTGCCAATACCTTTGATTTTGCCATTTGATATCACATTTTGAATATACTTTACCGACGAATTCATTGCCAGATGAACATATTCGCGTTGTTGTTTGTAGCTCTTGTACGTAGATGGCTTTTTTGCAGCAGATGGATGGGCTAAAGTCTCTTGTTCTGAAATTAACGTTTACGAATCCTTGAATTAGTTTGTAATTGTTTTTCACACCAGAAAGAAAATTTTTTGACAGGACATTTATCAACTTCACTGACACAAGAGGTTTTTGATCACGTATTTACCTCGTCATGTTCATCATCTTCACTGTTCATAGATTCTGTTTCGCAAATTGTCATTTGGCTAATGTCCTTCTGATTCAATACTCTAACCGTTTTCATTGACAATCATTTATTCATCATCGTTTTCACTGCTCCCAATTTCATTTGACACTTCTCTCGAGAGCATCGTTTCTCTAACTGTATCCTCATCTAATTTCCGAATCGTTTTATTCCAAATACCTCTGCATAAAGGAAATTGTCCGAAGAAGATGGTGTGACGGTGATTGTAATTACATATAACTTCCAGCTTGGTGTACATCGTACTCCCTCCCCCCCCCCCCAATTGAGACTTCCTACAGGATTTTACCTTTCGCCAGCACCAAATAACACTCTATGAGGGTATACCACTGCATTGCACTACATGTGTCAGGAATCCGGCTACTTAATCGGCCTAAAGACAACATCAAAACTGCGATTGATGTACGAAACTCCCTAACTCGACTAGCTGAGGGTTACTAGTATCAGATGATGATTTTTTGTCCCCCCCCCCCACACACGGCGGCATGTTCTATGTACTTTGTACATCTCTCAATTCACATGTTTCGCTTTCCCGCTCCTTCGTTTTGCAGACTGGAATGGGTGATAACGCACTGGAGTTTATCAAGTCTAATCGGGTAAGTTGGTGTTTCCTGATGCTTCCGTGCTGTTGGGGACCACCGCTCTCACTTTATTTCTCGTTTGACAACTTGTTCTCATTGAATTATCAGTTTGGAATAGCTTCCTCCAGTTGTTTGTATTTTGAACCTTCTACACGCGTGGTGTCGATGTCCTTCTTTAAAGTCCACAGTGCTTTGGAGCGATTTCGGTGTTGGTGTCTCCAAAACGGACAACCCACTACCGGTTTCGTCTTACGTTGCCTTCATCGGAGAGAGATAATCTAATCTGAGAGTGGAGCTCAGGACTTAAGGATTAACGGTTAACGCCTTGATCACTAAGCCACTGAGAGTCGTGAGCAACGCTTGGCACATCGGTTAATACTTCATAATCAGGTGGAACAAACAATCTCTATTATGACCTCGGTTGATTTTGAAGTGAATCTCGATCATTCTGATCATCAGGACCGTATGCGAGATGAAAGGGGTTCTCTGTTGCTAGCACAATGGTTTACTTGGCTGTCGGCCATCTAAATCTGAGTACAGGCATTCCGGTAATTCCATCCGTCAAAACAGAATCATGAGTTAGTGTCGTCACAAGTATTTGCCCCATTTTATACATACCTATATATAGTTTCACCACTCTACTGATTTACTTGAAGCCATCAAAAGCCATGGAAGGTACAGTTCTCGTTAAAATTAAACCGAACACAACATAGAGCAATCCGTGGTTTTGTCAGAGGACGCGATACTACCTGGTTATCTCAGCTAAGGTAGGGAGTTGTATTAGGGGACCACACCCCGAGCTTATGGCTAACTATTCTACCCGCACTACTGCGGAGCGAAATCAAGAAACTGATGATCGCTTGTTTAGTTGATTCTCCAAGCATCCTTTTGTTTCTATCACAACTTATCATTCATATAAATCGACGATACAACCAATCTCATCTGCTCGACTTACCGTTTCCAACTTCAGCGTGGATTTTACCTTTCCCAATTCCTTTCTATTCTCCCCCAGATTCCATTCCCCTTCATCTCCATGCTGTTGGTGCAGTTTGTCTTCATCATCATTGATCGGGGCTTGTTTCTGCGAAAACAAGTGCTGGGCAAATTCATCTTTCAAATAATACACGTGGTTCTCATCCACGGTTGGCTGTTCTTCATCCTGCCCCATATCACGAAATCGTAAGCATGTGCTTTGTTTCCTCACTGGTTAATAGCATTTTGTTACGATAATACGTTTAATCGTTACAGACACCATTCCACCTTTGTCTGCCACGTATACTCGGGACGCCGCCCGATTTCATGCATGTGTCGCCCCATTTTTGGTGGGGGTTTTTTCGCCTCTGCGGATAACTATAGTCCCATGTGGTAATTGTCCAGCAGATCCTCCTTCCGAAGTTTTGTCAATACTCCTGAGCACGGTGCCTTAGTGGGCTTTATTTGGTTAATGGAAATCAGATTACGATCCTGATACGCCAACTATCAATTCTGAAAAATGGCAGAAGGCTGTTTCGTCTTCTTGGAATTCCTCAGTCGATCGCATCTTTTCAGTCCACTAGCGGTCATGAATTTGGTTCCCTAAAAGGGTCTGAGGAAATGCACAACACTGATTAGCCATAGGAAGACAAAACGGTCGTCTGATGCTTTTCCGGATTGGTATTTTGTCTGTCTGGATTGTAATCTAATTGCGATGAAATAAATAATTTTTCTTTAACTTGCTTATCTTTACGATGCATCATTTATTAGGCACTTGTGTCTCCAGCATTCGGTTCAATTTTATTACTTATCTAGTCTGCATCTTACGCGATATTTTGATCACGAAATTTTCCTTACAGATACAGCGTCACGATATCATTCGTCCGGTCACATGATCTATGGTGTTATGGATAGGTCAATGATATCGCGCTACTACTTTGTCTATTCTATTATTCCTTGTGCTTTTTCCCTTATACTTTGACTGTTAATTTGGATGGAAAGCCAGAAAGTCAGTTTTCATATCGAGCTACCCCCGTATTCATCAGTAGACATCTGTCCCACATGTTTTCTTCGTCCACCAACTTTTGTTTACTACGCTTCTGACTGATATGTTGACTTGCGCAACCGGATCACACACTGAAGAAGGTCTTCGCCTTCTGTCCTCTGTCTTATTGCTTATGTTTACCATTAGGTTCATTGATTTTTAATCCAAAAAATTAGCTTGCTTTTGAAGCCAACTCTTGTTTAACGGACCTTACGCCTCCCCAGTAATGAAAGACCGTATTAAGGTGGGTAACGAAGGCAGGTTCCTTGAAAACATCTCACCTCATTTCCATTACGCTCTATTTTTGTCGTGCCTTTTTATCGATCACAAACACGGCAGCGATCGATGCACGAAAACAGGGTCCTTTAAGATCCGTAGACAGCATACGATTTTGCGCTACCAAGCTAGGTTTGGAGCAGGCATACACGCCTGTGGCCCGGACAAAGATCGATGTTAGGATATATGTGCGTCGTTTTGTGACAGGTTTGTGCGATGTCAGCCCAAAATCACCCGGACCTTAACGCAAAACAGTCCTCTGATTAAGAACAACACATCTAAATAACAAAATAGCTTTGGTATACTTACATGAAGCTGTTTGGGGAGCGTGAAACGATGGCTCTGATTACGTGGTCCTTCCTGCGCCTTTTCTTTTCGTGGACATTCACTTCACTTTTTATCAGAAATAATACAATCCAACTGCTACCTGGTACTCATATTGTAAGCTGCTTTCTTGATTCAATCAAATGGAACAGAAGTATAAAGTTCTATGTACTCTCCTTTACGTACTATTACACATCTGACCCTACCTCGGCCGTGGTGGTGAGCATGTATCTATGTTTATTGAGTTTTCTTAATTTGATGCATAAGACAGTTAGGCGAACAAGCTTGTTTTCGGTGGTTCGCATCGGGCCAACGCACCACAGAAGATAGGAATAAAACCAACACAGTGTATTTAAATACGATGAATTAATAAAGTGAATTGACCGATCAATGAGATCAAGTGACGACACTGGCTTGGAAGGGTCAAGCGTGGTGTCATAACATGGGGAAGCTTGAGGCCATGGTAGCTGTAGAGCCTGTACAAACTTCTTTTGAGCACATTATTCGGGATTATGGAGCCGAATTGCGATTGCTTCCGCTGTCGCCAATAGGTGACAGGCGTGTGGCGTCCAGGTATCTTGTAGATAGGCCGGAAGTCCTCCAGCACATTCACTTGGGGATTTGTGTCGGCCAAATGCTACAACACCGCGCTGACTACTGTCTTTCTGACACCAGTGTAGAGTCACGTGGGTAAAATTCTCGGACTCCTTCAGACAGTCTCCTGGTCGTCTTTCCAATATTACTTGCTCGACACGAGCAAGAAAAATGTTGCACATAGAAGGAAATATTCTACCTCGGTAATCTGTCCTTGAGATGCTGACTCACGACTGGCGTAGAAGTGAAGCTGACACGGAGGTCAGCTGCAAAATAGATCCTCGCTGTTGCATCGCAGAGCATTCGAGTAATTCGTTCCGTTATCATGTCACCATTAATTTGCTATTTCATGATGCTGTAAATTCACCTAATCTGTATGTAACATGTAATTAAAAATGCAGAGAAAATCTTTCGAAATTATTTCTTACGGCTAAGGATTTTCTCGAGAACTTGTTGTTTCATATATATATATATATATATATATATATATATATATATATATGATATTGGTTGCGGCCCTCGGTTTTCAGTTCCACACCGCTTGCTTAGAACCACAGCTGTTTTTGAACGCTCGGCGGCGGACCGTCTCCATCGACAAAGGCGATTTCAACGCCCTGAACATGTTGCTCATCACTCATTCGGATGATGAACGATTCATCAGGATCGACTCGATAGCCGGTGATCAAGAAACGCCTTGTGATTTGCGTGGCAAATCTGCCTACCGGCTGCGTAGCCACTTTTGGGCATGTTCATTGATTCAAACACCTTCATTTCGGTTAGTGCACCAAATGTAGCTGTCCACGGCTACATATGCAGTTACATGTAAGCAGTAGGACGTGCATCGTCGCTATCATTATGAGCACAAGTGTTGTCAACGTAGACAATCGTAGTTATGCTACATCGTGCACCCTTTTCGATGAAGCACTTCTTCGTTTTTCCGTAGTTTTTTAACCTATTTACTTCTGAATGATAGCTCGAATCAGTCACTTGTTTGCGCTGTTTCATCTGTTTACTACATTTCATCCTGTTTACTTGTTATCGCAGGCAATTCACCTCTGGGATCGCTCCTCAGTTGTTATATCTGATCAAATGCATCTACTTCTCTCTCTCGGCATACCAAATACGTAGCGGTTACCCGCTGCGAATTCTTGGCAACTTTTTGACAAAGAACTACAATTACATCAACCTCGTACTCTTCAAGGGGTGAGTCTGGCTCCTGCATGCATCACTTCAGATTATGGACATGTGCACATACTTGGTTGTTAATTATGTCTTTGAATCCATTTGCACCTGTCACCAGGTACCTTATTATACCATTTCTGTACGAGCTTCGCAATGTCATGGACTGGATGTGGACAAACAGCGCTCTGTCTTTGTACCACTGGATGGAGTTAGAGGACATTTATTGCAAAATCTTCGTTCTCAAGTGTTGGCGTCGCTCTGAGATAGCCTATCCCACGCCACGAGGAGTTAACCGACCAGTGGGAAAAAAGGCACTGGTTGGCGGCCTCTTGTTAGCTTTCTTCTTCCTCTGCTTTTGGGGACCGATGACCTTGAGTTCCTTCATCGGCGTCACGTTTGACTTCAACCCACCGGTGCTGTGCACATTCGGCTTCACCTTTGCCGGTTTCTCGGTAAGTTGCGCCGTGATTCTCGTGTGCTTCATTCACTCCGATCCAACTTGTCACCTTGTTTTAATGCACACACACACACACTTAGCATTGTGCTTCAGCGGCCAAACGCAGTCCTTAGTACTTCATTTTTGGACGGCTTGGTGCTATGCCACCATCGCACAATCATTACCTGTATACTTAAATTCATTCACTTGTGACTTTCACTTTTTCATCATATGTGTGCGTGCGCGTTTGTGTGTTGGCATTCAAGTGATCCATCCGCACTGAATCTAAGCCTTTTTGTAGTGCAAAACTCACATGTCACTGACGATGGTGTTTCACATTTAGCGTTTGAACTTACGAGATAAAAATCTCGGCTCATCTTCTACGCTTCTAACGGTGCCACACAACCAATGCGATGAACTGCGATAGGGTATCATTAGCAATGTCTTGCTTCTGTTTTACTTGCAACTGACAATGGAATCACGCCGTGCTTAATGGATAACGTACCGAAACATTCTTCCTTGACTCGAGTACAACCTTTAATTATTGTTGATTGTTTCTGTTTGTGTAAGTATGAACGAAACTACCCTAGGTCCACCACGATACGTGGAATGCGCCAGACTAGCTCCATCTCTGCACCTCCCCTTAACTTTGTGATTAAAACGATCATGGATAACTCTAACTTGGCTCCATCCACATCCTCTGTTGTTGCACTTCTACCGGGTACAGCTGTTGAGCTGTAATATACTTCACAATTTCAGAGTCCAGTATAACATCCTTGGTTGTTACTCGCATTGATCAACCACTCAAAATAATCGATCAGCTTACTTTTCTCAGTTTCTGTACCACCGTCTGGACACCATTTCTTTGAGGAGAAATATTTTGAAGGATCCCTTAGTTTCCTAAAGCCACTATCATTTACTGAGCAGGTGGGATATAAGGTTGATGGTTAATGAGAGGATTTACTACGGTGGAGTCTAATCAGCATTGCCATATATATATATATATATATATATATAATTGAACTTCATCAAAAACAGCTTTCAAATCTGATAGTCGTCCACATGCCCGGAAGAGCGCTAGACTGCAGTTTCAGCCTGTTGGGCATCGTCAGTAGTGCACATCCATCGGGTCCATAAGGATTCGAACCTATGACCACCAGCGGCTTGAACCGCCAGTCAGCAGCTTATGCCACTGGGCCACGGGGGACAGCTTCGGACCGTCATGATTTACAAGCTAACTGCGATATACCGCGTCTTATCCTCCACTGCCATGCAAGTTACGAACGTTGCAGAGGACAGGGTTAGTCCCGAAAGACACGACGTCCACTAACAATAGCTATGTATGACATAGCATTTAGAAACTGTCAGGGCGGATACATTGTGAAGTACTCATGAGTAGGGGCTTTGTGTATAGATACTTGAGGTTCATCACAACCAGCTTCCAATTCAGATAAACGTCCAGATGTCCGGAAAAGCACTAGACTGCAGTTTCAGCTTGTTGAGCATTATCAGTCGTTGGTGGTCATGGATATGAATCCTGCTGGATCCAATAGATACGTACTACTGTTGATGCCCAACAGGTTTTAACTGCAGTCTAGTGATTTTCCGGGCATGTGGACGACTATCTGATTTGGAAGCTGGCTGTGATGAACCTCAATGATCTATGACAAAATCCCCTACTCATGAGTACCTCATACATATATATATATATATATATATATATATATATATATATATATATATATATATATATATAAATGGAGGCCATTTAGAAACACTTGTAAGCGCCACCCTTCAGCTTGACATACTGGTCGCATTTTCACTCGTGTGACACCATTATCTGCTGGCTAGATGTCTAACTGGGTCTCGCCCAAATTACAAGTTGCCCTAACGTCTGTTCGTGTCTCGCTACGTTCTCAGTTGACAGATGGATCTTGTTGCATTTCTTCTCGTGTGCCAACCTGACTTATTGCGGTTTGCAATATGAGGTCAATGTATCCCATCTCAAGTGCCTCTATACCTCCCTCGCACTGCTTTTTCCTTCAGGTACACGCACTGAGATTCGGACATGTCATCAGTGTTGATTCCGGAACAGCGGCAACACGATGCGACATGCAAATCGAAGTGCTTGGGCATAGGTAACATTCTAAGCCCTGATGAATTGGTTTAGATATGGTAACGGCCAGAACGACCGACCAGGGGGAAATAAATAGTAACACACCACGAATTGCCTGGTGATTCCACATGTCTGTTAGTTCTCACTCACCTCGGACAACGGCCGATCGGACCGGCTCTGGTTTGCGTTCCGACACGGATAGCCTGCAGTTAATAAAGGGGACGGCATTCACAACACACACCAAAAATTAATCATCACTGTCCCATTGTGCATAGCTATAATTCCCTTTCTTTCCCCGCGGACTTTCACTTAGCTGAGTTTATAAAAATCATGGTGCACCAAATGGTCGTTTCGCGCTCTTGGGGCACAATTCCCTGTTTCATCAGGAGCCGAACACATGACCACTGGCAGCCTGCGCTCCACAGGTTCTTCATCAAACCTGGAGAACTTTGCACCATTGCAAGTACCACCGCTGATGATTTTTGAGTAGATGATGCCTTGGTTATTCATTGCCAAAATCAGAGTCACCATTCGGCCTCTGACTGTAGGCGAAACGACGTTCGCGCGCGTTTCCCTTCTTGAGCGAGCTTGAGTCCGTCGCATATGGAGATTGAGCTTGCTCTCATCTTTAAAGGTGCATTTCTGTTTGCCGTTCGGTACGTGTACCAAGAAGTAAAGAGCGCAAGCTTGCCGGTTTGCAATGGTCGTAACACTGCTGACGGGGTCTAACTCTTGGGGACACTAGTTGGGCGTTATCCTTAGCCTGCGCCACTAGCCACTGGCTTCTGTCACTGGGCCATGGGAAACGGTGGCAAGTCGTCATGATTTGCAACTTGACAGAGACAAAGTGCAGCCCATCCTCCGTTGTACTACAGGTTACGATCTCTTTAAAGGACAGTGGGTGGCTCCCGCGAAGCCACGAACTCCCATAGCAGCACTCATGTATACGTAGCATACAATGGCTGTTAGCTTGATTTTTTGGTTACTAATGAGTAGAGCACTTTTTTTATAAATCTCTGCTACTTTTCCTCAGCCATTCACTAGCCTTGCAATTAACCCGAAAAAATACCATCCAGCTGTTACGCACCGTTGGACGTTTTTCGGTGGCGTACATCCCCGGTCCCAACAGGAACCGAACCCTTGACCATTAGCGGCTTACGTTACTAGTTAGTAATCAAAACATGTGCCATACATCCTTCAAATGCTACTCGTACATAACTGCTGCTATGAGAGGTCGCGACCTCATAAGAACCAACTACTATCCTCTGCAGAGGTGGCAACTTGAATGGCAGTGTGAATGGCAGCGTTGTACTGTATCCCGGTTAGCTGCATTTCACTCCGACCACCCGCTGTGTTCCGCTACATTCACACCAGTGTTCTTTACTCCGTGCATGAGTTGTGTGATCGCTTCGCCCGTACTCTTATACTCTCCGCCAATCGGCCTGTCCAACGTGCAAGGGACTAATCCGTCATCATAAACTTGTTGTATCAAAGGAACTACGCCTTGGTCACATCCAACACCATTGGTCTATTTCTCGCTCTGGTTAGATTGTTTGCAGACTTTCCTTCTCGAATATTCCATTTGCATTTACCATTAGTTCGTGGGTTAGCACTTTGTCCTATAGATTATCGCAATTATGACTCGCCTTACATCATCCGAATTCATAGGTGCACTGTTTAATTCGGTCAACACAGAGCGAAGGGATTTATATGTAGAATGTGCACCCCATGTGGTAGCCTTTCTACACTGTACTTAACTCATTGGACGGATATTCTGGAGAAACTCCACCGCTGGTGCTTGTGTACGTTTGACACTTATGGTGCTATGCGAATATCTCACTTTTTTTAGTTTGGAAATGATGTTATCACAGCAAGATGTGTTGCATGCACATCTCACAGTTTGGTTATTTGCTCCCATCTACTCCTCATTGTATGCTTGCACACGTTTCTCGCTTGCTCCATCGCGACGAGACTGAACCTTAACTTTGCGATCGTTTGTGTGCCTCAGTGATCCACTGAGCCGTGCTGGGTAGTGCCTTTCGCAACTTCAGAGCAATTCGTACGAGAGTGGTCAATGGTTAGAGCCCAAACAAACTCCGTGCCCTGGCTGTTCAAGTTGGATTTTGGAGCGAGAGTGGCTCCTTACTCCATAAAACGGGCTCTCTCTAGTCCAGTGCCAAAGCCCCACTGCCTTGTGGTCAGGTTTTTGAATCAAAGGCTTTGGCTGAGAACCTTTATCATTCTCCTGTCTAGGCCTGGGCAATCTGACAGCATCTTGCTCACGCAATACAACGCAATGACTTTCTCTTTAAACAATCGCTTGATGCTCTGACTGTTGTTGAGGACAATAAACGAGACCCTCTCTGATGTATCGATCAGAGTGGATAGGGGTTTGGGTGCATTCCCGTCCTCTTATTCCTTTTGCGCTTTTTCATCCTTATCATCCCCCTCCAATTTTTATCCCCTGTTTTCGACCCCCCAATTCTTGGTCCTTCACCGCCTTGCTTCAGTGGTCGCTTGTCTTCTACTTTAGACTCACACGCAATCGAAGGGCATCGCTCCGGTCCAGTCGACAATTCTATGTTCAACCAAGCGGACAACGTCAGTTCATCCGTTTCTCTTTAGACTCCTCGACCCTCTCTAAGAACGGCATGCCTCACTGTGCGCATTTTGCTACAGATTGGTCAACAGCTAGTACTTGCCCGAGTACTAGAGACCCTATCAATCGCTATTTGCTTTTTATCGGAAACCCACGTGAAAGACTCGAACTTGGTGCTTACCTTGCGATCCTCCACATGCGACACTGGCGGCACTCTCTCATTGCGCCTGTCTAAAGATTACACAGCTTTAAATGCCGGTCAAGCCGGTATGGACATTGTTTTGAGTCGTCGGACTGAAGC